TAACATGATGATCTCTAGTTCCATCTATTTTCCCTTAAATGGCATAATTTCATTTTTCTTTATAGCTGAATAATACCCCATTGTTCATATACATATGCCATATTTTCTTTATCTGTTCATTTATTGATGGGTACCTGGGTTGATTCAATAGATTGAGTATTGTGAATAGTGCTGTAATACACATGGATGTGCAGGGATTATAAGCTGACTTACATTCTTTCAGATTTATGCTCAAGATGGTGTAGCAACATCATATGGGAGTTCTATTTTTAGTTTCTTGAGGAACCTCCACACTGATTTCTATAGCAGCTCCACTAACTTACATTCCCATCAACAGTGTATAAGGGTTCCTTCTCCCCTCCCATCTTTGCCAGCATTCATTGTTTATTTTCTTTTTTTTTAAAATTTTTATTTTATTCATATGTGCAACAAGTTAGTTTCTGATTGGAGAGGTTCTTTCCCAGAATGATAGCCTGCTTGCTCATGGGTTTCAAAGCAGAGGCAGACTTTTAGAGGAGCTGGATATTTAGCGACAGAGGATAAACTCTGATTTTCAGAGGTGGTGTGCTCTCTCCTTCCTGCTGTATACAGGGCACTTCCTATATGATGCTTGCATACTGCTGATTGGTTTCCTTCTTTTATTTTCCCACCCATTTGCACATGGAAAAATTCCAGTTCCAGTCCTAAATGAGTATGACCTACATCTTCATCACTCAGTTCTGATTGACTTGTGATTTGGTGCTCCATTTCCTAGAAAATCAGATTGGCCCAGATGGGATTAGTGGATTACTTTATTCCAAACAGTTGTGGCTAAGGGAGCAGGAGTACAACCAGTTATAGGGTTAGTTCTACCCTTTGGGCAAGGGGACGGTGACAAAAAAGCTTACAGAAGAAGGTCTGAGAGCCCGTAGATTTCCACAACACAACTTGAGGCAGATACTGAAAACTGGTTCCCTTTTCAATCACTCTCTTGCTTGACTCCTTGGACCATTTCCCAGACTCTTTTGTAGCCAGGATTGTAGACATGATCTAGCTTCTCTCAAGCAGATTATCTTGGAAACCTTAGAGTAATGTGAAGAGGTGGCCACGTTTGGGGGACATGATATATTTTTTTCAGGAAAATTGTTTTTGTTCCTGAGTAAGCAAATGACTGGTTAGTTTAAGATCTCTGTGGAAGCTGCAGAAAACTCTTATGTAAACCCCATTCTTAGAAAACATATGTACTTTTATAAGTCACAAGTCATGATTTGTTTACATAGAAAACTAGAACTGAAAGTGGTAAATCATGTTTTTTTTGTAACAAACATGAATTGTAAGTCATGAGTTTGCCCAAATGTTAGTATCCATCTGAGCTAAAACAATGTTGCTGGTTTCTTTGCTACAAATTCTACTTACCATGGGGTTAGGTTAATATATTACATGATTTGACACTGTAGTAACCTACATAATGCCAAACTGCAATTATTTAAAGATGCAAAATAAGATATATTTTAGCTGGGATTGCGTTATATGGTATCTACTTGTATACAAGCACATACATGTTCTGCAAAGGCACAGGAGAAAGTGATAATGGTATTTCTTGTGCACATGAAAACAATGTGCTATTGCTACAAATACAAAGCCATCTCTAGGAGAATTCTAGACCAGAAATTCTTACATTTCTATAACATTCACATTATCACCACTCTACGAACAAGGACATTTTCAGAACACATCATTCCATAGCTGGTCTGTTGTGTGCTGGTTGAATAAAAGTTCATGAGACTCAGGCACATTCTGTTGATCCTTCTTCAGTTACAAAAAAGATGCTGTCAGAAAGACAGGAATAATTCTTTCTTTTTTAGTAGTTCTGGAGCTTTGTCATCTGCTTAAGGTGTTGCCTGCATGTTTCTTCTCTTTAAGGTACTGTTTGTTCCTTTGTAATATTAAACATCTGAGGGAGATATCTGAACATATAAAAATATCTTGTTTCTCTTTATACTTGTATTAACTAATTTTAGCATTGACCGGTGGGTCTTGCTTATAACAGTGATTACTGTAGGATCTGGACAGTCACTTTCTATTTCCTTTAATCTATGTTTATTAATTGGGCTCTCCTGTAAGGAAGAGTTATCTTTTCCCCATCATTTATTTATATATTTAATTATCTATTTACATCAGTATGGAATCATGGATATTTATCTTATTTTTGATGTTTTAATTCTATCACTATTTTTTCCCATTTTTGACCCTTGGGAGCTCTTTCAGACTGGTTTGGTGACATGATTCCTGCTTTTTTTTTTTGTGTGTGGGACTGGGATTTGAAACCAGGACTTTGTGCTTGCACAGCAGGTGCTCTACTATTTGAGCCACCCACCAGTCCATTTTGCTGTGGTTTTTTTGGAGATGGGGGTCTCATGAACTATTAGCCTGGCTGGCCTTGAACCATGATCCTTCCAATATCAGCTTCCCAAATAGCTAGGATTTATAGGTGTGAGCTTCCAGTGCCTGGCTATTTGCTTCTTCTTTAAAAACCTTGAAAGCCCTTTAATGCGTCATGTTTCTTTTGGAGAATGGTGTTTAGAAACTTTAATCAAGGCACTAAGTTGTGTTCATTGTTATTGGGGTGTCACTACTCTCAGGTCCTCTCAGCCAATTAGTATACACACATGTATACTTTCAAAAGTCCACACGATTCACAGTAATACCTCTGATCCATCCAGCTGTTAAGGTTAAGTCCAGCATTCCCCCTTTGCTTACTTATAACTTACTTCTCTGACAATGAAAAACCTGTTGCTCACAGTCATATATTTACTTAACCAACTTTTGTGTACGCTTAGTGTTTTCAGAATTTCTCACCCATGATCTTCTGAGAAACTAACTTATCATTAGACTAATATTGTTTGGATGTGAAATGTCCTCAAAGGCTCATGTGTTGAAGGCTTGGTCCCCTACATAGCAAAGCTCAGAGGTGGGGCTTTTGGGAAGTGCCCGGATCATGAGGACTTTGGCCTCATCAGTGGGTCCATAATTTGGTGGGCTATTGGAAGGTGATGGAAACTTATGATGTGGGACCTAGTTGAAAGGAGTGGGTCCTTGGAAGTGTGCCTTTGGGGACTATATCTTGTCCCTGGCCCTTTGGTCCCCCCTGCCCCACCTCATGCTTCCTGTCTGCCATGAAGTGAGCGGTCTCCTCTACCACAAGTCCTGCTATTATGTTTTGCCAGTATTCCTCTTTTCTTTTCTCTCTCTCTCTCTCTTTTTTTTTTTGGTGGCATTGGAGTTTGAACTCAGGACCTGACACTTGCTAGAAAGGCCCTCTTACTACTTGAGCCACTCTGTTAGCCATTCTCTTCTTTTTTGTGGTGCTGGGTATCAAACCTACAACTTTGTGCATGCTAAGCAAGTGTTCTCCCACTGAGCTACATCCCCAGCCTATCATTATTCATTTCTTTGTATGGATTCAAGTTTCTATCTACTATCAAATTCTTTCTGCCTAAAGATCAACTTTAATGATTTATTAGCAATAAACCCTCACATTCTTTTTTTGGGAAAGTCTTTTTCATCATTTTGAAATATATTTTTTTCTTGGCATAGAATTTTTTCCTATGAATACTAGAGATGCCATTCCATTGTCTTTTAGCTTACATAGTATTTGTTCTTCTATGTGCAGTATACCTTTTTATCCCTCTCTGCCTGCCATCACAATTTTTTCTTTGTGTTTCTCCCCAGAAGTTTGATTATCTGGTTTTCCCTTTCAGAACTCCAGTTATTCTATACTGGAAAATCATGGTGTAGCCTACATGTCTATGATTTAATGTCCACGTGGATGTTATATATATGTTACACATGGCACCAAGCATCCCTTAATGAAGAGGCTGCATCTGAGAAACGTCAGGTGCTTAGAGACATCGATTACTTCACAGTAAGAAAAGAGCAGTCTAGGAACTGGACCCTTGCCTGTGTCCAGGTCCATACAGCTAAATGGGCAAACCAAGGCAAAGCCTCTGAATTTTTTTTGTTTGTTTGTTTGGTTTTGGTTTTCTGTTTTTGGTGGTACTGTGGTTTGAACTCAGGGCCTTGAGCTTGCTAGGCAGGTGCTCTACCATGTCCCTAGCCCTTCTGTGCTTTATTTTTCAGGTAGGGGCTTGCATTTTTGCCCAGACCAGGCCTCAGACGGTGATGCCCCTACTTAGGCCTCCCATGTAGTTGGGATTACAGAAGCCTGCCACCATGCCTGGCTTATTGGTAGAGATGTGGTCTTGCAAAATTTTTTTTTGCCTGAGATGGCCTCAAATCAGGATCCTCTAGAGTAGCTGGGATTATAGACATGTACTACTTCTCCTTGCAAATTAAAGCCTCTGATTAAACTCCCCAAATCCCTTCATGTGCAGTAGGTGATCCTGACCCTCAGAGTTCTCACCCCTGAGCAACAATGGTAGCTTTCTCATGCTTCACTGGAGGAGGGAGGTTAGTCAGTTTTTTAGCAAGTGTGAGATGATGTCTGCTACCTTCCAAGAAAATGGGTAGAAGATGTAGAAACATATACCTGGCCTCTGAAAACTTTTAACTTTTATTTTTACTTAATATACAGTGTATTTTCTACAAAAATTATGAGTTAAGTATATTTTAATAAGATAAGATATCTAAAATATAATTGAGACAATTAAAAAAATCCTCGTTTGTACAGAAGGAAAAAGAGCCAATAAACAAAAAAAAAACAAAACAAATGGAATAAGAACAAAGTCTCCTCAAATTCTAGATAGCATATTCCTTCTTCCTCTTGTCCAGGTGGGTGCCCCCTGGGTCAGCGGTGAGACTGTGGCTCCAGAGCACAAGGTAGTTAAGTCACTGAGAATGTGACTCTGACTCATGAAAAAAGGCTGTGTTCCAGACACAGCAGTGGGCTAAACATCCTTCTGAATCATTGAGGTCTCAGGAAAATGCAAGCTTTCAGGAGACTTTTGCTGTCTAAGTGCAGCTGGATTTAATCTGTGTAAGTCCTGACACCTCATTTAGGTCTAAAAATAGGTGTCTTCCTGGTCTGTGGTGTTCAGTTGCAAGTACTCCAGAGTGCCTTTCTTATAACTGGCTACCCGGGTTGGTTTTCGGCTTTTTATTCCTGAAGCCTGTCTTTTCTGTAAAGAGTTGACAATCATGTCTGAGAATTCTGCTTGCAAACGCTGTTGATTCTCCCTGGAAGAGAGGGAAGGGAAGAGAAAAAAAGGAACCCCTCAATAATTTACACAGAATGTATCTTAATCCCAGAATCATTGGTTCAGTTCCCCAATTTTACTCATTAAGTGCCTGTTCTAGGCTAGACACAGGAAGTCCCAAGAATACAGAATGACCTTGCTGTTATGAGCTTAAAGGCCTGCCATCCCCCATGTGTGGCTGTAGAATGAGCAGAATGTATGACAGGAGGAAACGCGACTTCAGAGTGAAACAGCATGTTGCTAGCATTTGGAGGCATTGGTGAGAGGACCTAGGTCTCCCTAGGCCATTAATACCAGTGAGGAAAATTTTAAAATGCCTGCACCCTGAAAACTCATTAGTATCACACATACTTAGGGGTGTAGCTATTGCTTGGGGATTGCTCAGGATGGCGGTGGATCCCAAGTTTAAAATGGGCTGGGGCCCTCCTGGTGAGGAGCCAGGTTTTCTGTGCCCGAGGAAAAGTCTAGGTTGTCTTGGCATCTCTAGTAGCTTGCCATCTTCTGGTTTGATACGTAGGCGTCTGCAAGACAGGTTCTGTACTTTAGCCAAGGCTGCAAGATTGAATGCCACAGCACCTATCAATGGGCCACTGGAAGACAAGCTGGTCAACTTTAGGAGAACCGAGACCTATTGGTTAGACCTGACACTTTGTCTTCCTCATCTCAAGGAGAACACAGACTCCATGTTAGACCAGAACCATGGTCTTGGGGCAGGGGGAGGAATCCTCGTCATCAGGTGCCTCCGCAGAAAAGAGGTAGACAGGAACGTCTTTACCCCAGCGCACTCTGCTCTTGTAAGAACCAGACATGCATAACATGAACTTCCAACTGCTTTCTACTCTCCTGAGCTGGCCTGGAACACAACCCTAGCTAAATCATACTTTATGCATGACTTTAGTCAGTTTTTCAGGAGGCACGAGATGATGGCTGGTGCATTCCAGGCAAATGGGCAGAAGAGGTAGAAGCACATATTTAGACTCATTAACTTTTAACTTTTATTCTTGTCACTATATAGCATATTATATGTTAAGTAAATGTTAATGGAGATAAGGTATTTAAAATATAATTAGGCCAGGTATGGTGGTGCAATCCCAGTACATGGGAGGCTGAGGCAGGAAATCTGAGAGTTTGAGGCCAGCCTGGGCTACAGTGTCTCCAAAAAGAATTACATAATATATATTTATATATATGAATTCTATCATCTATCTATAGACAACTAAAAAAAAAAAAAATCCTGTCTTGTGTGCAGAAGGAAAAAGTGCCAGAAAAACCAAACCAAAATAAATGGAAAAAGAACCAAAACTCTCAAGTTCTTTCCTTGAGAAAGAATATACTCTTTTCCCCTCTTTCCCAGGTGAAGCCCCTGAGATGGCCGTGGGAGAATGACTCCAGAGTCCAAGGAAGTTATGTCACCTAGAACAGACATCTGATTCACGGAAGGTCAATGTTCCAGTCAGGGCAATCAAGTAAGGACTTTCGTGTGTCATTGGGGACTCAGGGAAATGGGATTTCAGGACACTGAGCTCTAGCAGCTGGAGAAGGGAGGGTTCGAAACCTCTCCTCTGTGTTATCTTCTGTGTCATATTCAACATGTCAGTACCACTTGCAAAGCTATAGCTAACTTAAGTGGCTGTAAGCAGCACAATGCACAAAGCTTCCCTCCCTCCCATCGCCCCCCACCCCCCACTACACCCAGCAGCTTACACAGTTGGTGGAGTTGGCAGGTTGAACTTCTGGTCCTTCATCCCAGTCAGCCAGTAGGTCATCTCTGTCCCTCTTCCCTAGTGACACAAAAGATGTAGGTGCCATGGAGGCTGTAAGACACTGCAGCTCTACCCAGTGTTCCTACAGTGACCTGTTTCCAAGAGGCTATCACCTCTGCATTTCACCTCACCACACCACACATTCCTGTATGACTTGTGTTATCTCTAAACAAACTTTTGTTTCCAAATGTCTTTAAAAAAATAAGTCTCTCACTCACTAGGCAGGCTTTTTTTCAAAGTAGATCTTCCTTTTCCCCAAAAAGATACTTTAAAATATCACTATAGCAACGTTACAGGAATTCTGACTTGTAAAGGAAAACTTGTAATTTGGCTATGCCAACAAATTCAACCAGTTTTCATTGTCTACATTTTCTTTTATCCCCTTGGCAACAAAGTCTTTTTTTTTTTTTTTGCAGTACTGGGATTTGAATTCAGGGCCTATACCTTGACCTACTCTTGTACCAACTCTTTTTTGTAATGGGTTTTTTCAAGATAGCATCTTGTGAACTATTTGTCCAGGCTGGCTTACGTTGATCCTCCTGATCTCTGCCTCCTGAATAGCTAGGATTACATGTGTGAGCCACCCAGAAGCAACAAAGTTTTGTCACAAAACTTTTGCCACAGTTTCCCTACCTTAAGTGTGAAAATTATAAACATACATACATTGTAATAAGCACTCCTTAAATGACATTAATTTGGCTCATCTAGAGGCTATCAAATGAATGTAAACTTGGTGGGAACTGTTTTTGCTACAGCTTATCTTTGAAAAGATATGGGCTCGTGGAGTGGCTCAAGTGGTAGAATGCCTGCTTAGCAAGCATGAGGCCCTAAATTCAAATCCTGGTGCCACCAAAAAAAGGTATATATATATATATATATATATATATAAAATCATTTAAAAATATGTAATCATTTTTTAAAATGATGATTTTCTGGCTCTGTTTGAGATGCAGTACTCTGTAAACTACTTCTGTTTTGAGGGGAATGTTCTTGGGTAGAAAACATTTATGGAAGACTCAAAAAGTTGAGTGTAACATCAGAACACTTTTACTTGAAAGGACACTTTTTTCAAATTGCAACAAAAGAGTACAGGACTGAGTACTATGTCTACTGGAAACAAAATCTTTTTTCTTTTTTTGGGTGGTTATGGGGTTTGAACCCAGGGCCTCACACTTCCTGGGTGGGTGCTCTACCACTTGAACCACTCCATTAGCCCTGTTTTGTGTTGGTTTTTTTTGAGATAGGGTCTCGTGAACTCTTTGCTCAGAGCTGCTTTGAACCTTGATCCTCCTGATCTCTGCTTCCTGACTAGCTAGGATTTATAGGCATGAGCCACTGGTGCCTGGCCAGGAAACAGAAAATCTTATAGGCAGTAGCTGGATTCAGACCAATTGTGAGAAGATTGTAATACTAACTTTTGAAGAGCAGCCTGAAAGCCAACTGTGACAGTTGGAGGACAGCTGTTTTAAATGTGAGGTGACTTTGGAGGTCAGCTGCTTTAAATATGAGGAACATAGAGCAGTGATCTTCAAACTTTAGTGTGATCACAAGTATATAGAATACTTGTGAAAAATACGACTTCCTGGTCTACACCCATAGTCATAGCAGGGCTGGCGGGGTGTCCAGGTACCTGTGTTTTTAACAAGCACACAATAATGCCAGGTCAGGTGTTTTGGGCCACACTTCACAACTCACCGATGGAGAGCTTCAGAAAAATAAAAGCAATAGAGGTGACTTCAGTGAGCAGCATCTTGCAGGAAGAACAGAGAAGTGAGGAGACGGGGGTTTTGATCAAGTTCACTAAGTCCTGCACTAGACTGGGCTCTTGGGGTTGGAGAGGACATGGGGGAAAAGTTTGGATATATGGAGAGGAGACGGTCATAGCCATCTGTAGCATATTAGTCATGGTTCAATATCCAAGGAGCAATTTGAAATAAAGGAAAGCTCTGAGTTCACGTGCTTTGGTGAAGATTTCTTCACCAAAGGGATCACTTGGAGGTCACAGTGGCGAGTGCAGAAATGGATGTCTTATGTTCATCATCCTCTACGTTCCTGGTCAAGTCTCGCAGGAGGGGCCCACGTGTGCCTGGGAGTGTGTTCTGTGTACTACCTCTGTGGATTCCTTACCTTTAAGTAAGTTTCTCCTCTCACTTCATACAGGAACTGGCACTCCGTTCTCTTCAGGGTGGCAATAGTGGAACCACTCATGTGAATTCTTAGGGCTGGAGATACAAAACAGAGAAATGAAAATCTCCACCTTTGTAAAATCTGTCACGTGGCCAAATTTGTTTCCCTTTGATTCGAGATATCAACAATACATGAAGCAACTATCCTAAATCAAAGAGAACCACATATGGCTATTTTAGCAAAAGACTCCTTAAAGATAACATCAGTCATAAGGAATATTATCACACTGGGAAGAAGGAGGGAAGGTGCTGTGTTTCAGTGTTCTGAGTGATGGAGATTTCTGGGTGTGTCCATCAAGTCTCATTCCATCTCAGAGTGAAGTCACTGGGGCTGAGTTTTGGGTCGGGGCTTGTAGTGCAAAGCTTGGGGGTTGGAATTTGGTTTGGGGTTCCCATGCTAAAGTTTAAGGCAATAGCTAAAGTGCTGGGGACAAGATAAAAATGCAGGGTCTTGGTTTTCTCAAACGTTCCTCTTCTGGAACACTCTTATCCTTTTGAAAAACAAGTGGCAAGGGCATTTGTAGTCACAGGTCCATGGCTGTACAGCACCTTTCTCACTATGGGTGCCTGATACAATAATAACAATAACAATAGTAAGAATTATGGCAGCCACAAACTGTCACCTGCCATGTGCTAGAGGATTGCTACATGAGTAACATAACATCATCCCAATTCCTTCCAGAAATAGACCCAGCAAGGTTGGAACCTGATCCTCAATTTACATCTTCATCTTTCTGAGGCCTAGAAAGATCAAGTAACTTCCCCCCAACTCATACAGACAGTGATTAATGTGATGATTTTATCTCAATTTTGTCTGACTCCCACCTTATTCTTTTCTTTTTAGTTGCTTATTTTATTTGCTTATTTGAGATAGGGTCTTGCATTGTAGCCCAGACTGGCTTCAAACCTGTGATCCTCCCACCTCAGCCATCTAAGTGTTAAAATCATAGTCATGTGTACTATGACCAGCCTATTCTTTTCTTTGTACTACAATTTTTCCAGTACATACTTGCATACCAAAATACCACCCTGTCTCCTTCGACCATGTCACTGGCTGATGCTTCTTCCTCTCTATCATGTATTTCACTATCACCAGTATTTATTGAATCTTCTACATGAAGCACATTTGCCTCTTATCTTTTCAAGCAAATGAAATACACATCTTTGTATAAAATAAATACCTAAATGTTTTTCTTTACTAAAATGAATGAAGTCCTAGCTAGGGGTATGGTGGTACATGCCTGTAATGCCATCACTCAGGGGGTAGAAGAAGGAGGATCAGGAGTAGGAGGCCAGCCTGGGCTTCATAGTAAGACCCTATGTACAAAAAAATACAAAAAAACAAAAAACCAAACAAAACCCCCCAAACAACCAAACAAACAAAAACAAAGGGAAGTAGGAACTCGAACCAGCATTTACAGTCTGTATTTATCCCACTGCATTATTTTTAGCTTACATGGATCTCTGCTAAGCTTCATAACTATTCTAGGTAGAACATGCCTGAATTCATTTTTGAAGAGTCAAAAATACAGAAACAGTCTAAAACTGAGCCAATAAGGAAGACTATAATAATTATCAATATTCGACAACAACAAAAAAACAAATGTAGCAAGGAGATGAGTGACACTGGATCATGTCCAGCCAATGTGAAGGATTGCTCTGCATCTTTGCATTTTGTTGTGTGCTGAATTCTACAACTGCCCTCTGCTGAAGATAGAATCTTGGTCCCCCAAGGAAAACCATAATCATCCTTCTTACGGAGGCCGGTGGATTCCATCCTGGAGGCAGTATTGACAGTATCGCCAAATAGGCAATAACGAGGCATCTTGATTCCCACAACTCCAGCAGCACAGGGACCTGAAATGGACAGAAAGCTGGAAGTAGACACAGGGGAAAGTGCAGAGTGGAGCTAAGATGGGGAGGCATCTTCTCAGGGTCACTGTGCTGAATCCTTCACGTCATGGAGAAATGTGAGCTGCGACTTTTGCTTGAAGTGGATGTACCCAAGGGAAGCATGGTTACTCAATGCATGCTTTCAGAAAGTTGTTGATCTAGCAAGGAAAAGTTACATTTTCACTGAACAAGAAAGCATCCAGAAGCAGGGTGTGGTGATGTGTCTATAATCCCAGCTAATCCCACTGCTCAGGAGACTGAGGGAGGATCTCAGATTTGAAGCCAATCTGGGCTACACAGTGAAACCCTGTCTAAATCCCCCCTCCCTAAGAAGAAAGAAAAAAGTCCTTCAGAGAAAATGGAAAGCTCTCAATATTTTAAAGACAAGGTTCTCAGGAAAGGTAAAGGTGATCCCATTGCTTGCTCACTGGACCAAACCACACAACCCTGAACTCTGGACTCCTGGAGTCATAGACTTGAAAATACAATGGCCCAGGTTTGCTTTATATTTATTTAGGGTGGCATTTCTGGAATTGGTGGCATTACAATGGAAGACCCAGAAGACAAGGACATTGAATAATCTTCCCTAAGCATGGGCCGTGTGAATCCCACTGGCTGGAGAAGGCCTGTGGCACAAGGATGTTCTAACAAGCAGGACAAAAGCCAAGGCAAGACTGCACTGCAGCATATCAGGCAGGAAAGGAGGGTTGTTTAGTCAGGTATTTGTGTGGGATGACTGAGTGCAAGGAGTTAAAGATTAACCAGAAACTGCAAAAGTTTCTGGGTGGTATTGGAGATTGAACTCAGGGCTTTGTGCTTGCTAGGCAGGTTCTTCACTGCTTGAGCCACTCCTCCAGCCCTTTGTGCCCAGATTATTTTGGAGATACAGTCTCACTTTTTGCCTAGGCTGTGATCCTTCTGTTTTATATATCCTGCCATACCTGGGATGAGAGGTGTCCAGCTATTTGCTGAGATGGTGCCTTACAAAATTTTGCCCAGGTGGCCTCTACCCTCCTGATCTCAGACTCCCAAGGGGCTAGGGTGACAGGTGTGAGTCACTAGTGCCTGACAGAGGCAGTTTCAGCTTTCTGAGCTCCCCAACTACACCAGGCTCTACATTAGGACTGGTAAGTCTGTTGACTAGTGACTCCTTACTTCAAAAATGAGTGCTACAGCTGGAAGGGCCTATAGTAGACAAATCTCCAGATAGTGTATCTTCTTCTCAATTGTCAGTAACTTTGCAGCTGCCCAATTTCTTAGGCCTAAACTCCTAAGGTACCTAGTGGTGGCTAGTAGCTCCTCTCATGCCAGCCCAGTGTGATCATGCCTTGGTGTTCAGTCCAGACACTGAGCAAGTCACAGAGGAAAAGAGACCAGCAGAACCCCAGAGCGCCATTCTCCCAACTTGGTTCAGTCAGTCTTGCTGCTAACCCTTCCTCCCCATCTGGTAACTTAGGATGGGCTAGAAAAGGAACAATCTGGTGCTTCACTGGCCTGAAGTTCCCTCGTGTAGCTATGGGAACATCTGTGACATTTGCTGGGCTGATTGAGGATGGCCCAGCTGCGTTCCTGGCTATCAAAGATACAGTAGCAGTTTTTAACTTCTAGTTATTGTCACTTTGAGAGTCTCATCAATTCACTTCTAATCAACAGATATTTACTGTCAGGCTCTGTGCCAGGCCCTATAGGTCCGGACGACTTTAGCAAATGCAGTTGTCTGACCCTTGCCACAAAGCTTGGGTGATCTTTTAGATTTTCTTACTTTGGGTCTTCTGAAAGGCTTAGAGGGTAGAAAAAGGAGCAATGATAAAAAATTATATAGATGTGATTTAACACAGAAAAAACTGTCTTAACAATTACAGCTTTACAATACTGGAGTGAGTCAGCTTGGGAAGTAATGAATTTTCAGGGAGTCCTAGGATTTTTCTAAAAGGGGCTATATTATTATTTGTTTTGGAAACCGCAAAGACAGTTGTGCCTTGCAAAGTGTTCATGGAAATTACATTTGAACCCCTCTCCAACTATGTTTTTTTGTAATACCTGCAGCAAATCTCAAATCTCTGTGTCAAGGCTGTTAAAGTAAATTTGGCCAGAAACTGCCTCCCACCTTGAGTCGCTATGTAACCAACTACAACCTAGCTTGGGTCCTAAACAAACTGAAAGCCTAATTTAGAAATATACTTTTGTAACAAATACCTGAGTCTCAGCTACTCATAGCAGCAGAGCATCAGCCAATCACAGGTTGCCAATGGATCATATCATGCCCAAATATGGCAAGCATGGAGCTGTAGCCAATCAGGTATTTTCTGTACATCCTTTTCTCCTTTCTTCCCTTACCCTCTCTCCCTCCCTTTCTTTTGCTCATCTTACATCTCTTTCCTTTTTTTTCTTTTTTCTTCTTTCTTTCCTTCCTTCCTTCCTTTCTCTTTCTCTCTCTCTCTTTTCTTTTTTAAAAAAATTTTAAATTTATTTTTTTAATTTAAAAATTTTTGTTATTCTTTTATTCACATGTGCATACATTGTTTGGGTCATTTCTCCCCCCTGCCCCCCTCCCCCACCTTCTCCCCCCTTCCTCCCTCAGTTCCAGGCAGGTCCTTTTCTGCCTTTATCACTAGTTTTGTTGAAGAAAAGACACAAGCCTAATAAGGAAGACAAAGCGTTTTTGCTAGTTGAGTTGAGGATAGCTATACAGAAATATTCCTAGCATTGCTTTCATGTACACATGTTATGACCCAAGTTGATTCATCTCTAACTGATCTTTACCCTGGTTACTGATCCCCTTCTCATGATAACCTGTTGTTTTAAGGTTTCTGTATTAGTTCCTCTGGAGTGGGGACATCAAATGCTTTCATGTTTTGGTTTTCCACCTATTTCTATATCACCCAAATGTGCTCTCCCCTTGTCATGTGGTCCCAGTCCAACCACATTGCTGCATTTGCCCTAGATCTAAAGTCTGCATATGAGGGAGAACATATGATTTTTGGTCTTCTGAAGTTGGCTGACCTCGCTCTTTTCTTTTTTTGAAACAGGATCTCACTACGTAGCTCCTTCTGGCTTCAAATTTTCCATCCTCCTGCCTCAGCACAGCTGTATGCTACCACGCTTGGCCTCACTTCAGTTTTCTGTCTATGGATACTGCCTTCCCAAATTAATGAGTGGGGCTCTCTAAATCCCTTCTGGTTCTGAGGGCTACAATTTGTGAATCATTTTTTGCTCAAATAAATTCTGTTATTCTGCCTAAAGATTTTTCTTTTAACAAGGCTATGAAACTGTCATTGTCTTTGAACTGATCCATGTACTTTCTGTACCACTATAGTGGAGCCATATAAGTATTATAGGAATTTGACAAGCTATTTTTAGCCCAATAGATAATCAAATCCAATTAGATACTATAAATATTTTAAGGAAAAAATACACAGAAGTTGGGACTGTGAAGAGGGAAGAAATGGGGAGGAGAGAAGCAGAGATGATGACTTAGGGTAAGTCCAGAGCTTTTTGTTGGTATTTATCCACCCAGGCATGAAAAGTGCTGGTAAGGTGTTGTTCCTGGTGCTCTCTAAGGACTGGGTCTAAATGTGTCAAGAAGTATAACAGGACCCCACACTTGGCACACAGAATGAAGAGTAAATTTTATGTGAAAATCAACTACATATGAAGACTTCCATGTTTTCTGATTTAGTTGGTCCCCATTTGCTAAGATGCTTAACTCCGTACCAGAATGAACTCCAATGCGAATCCAAACTGGAAGGCCAGGAAGATGCTCCAGCTCAAAGGTCCCTATGAAGCTGAGGATATCCAGGGCCATCTTGGAAATGTCGACTGCATGCCTATTGCCATTTCTCTTGGGCAAACCACTAGCCACCACGTAGGCATCACCAATGGTTTCCACCTGTGGAAATACTTTCTCATTAGTGAGTCTGCTCCTTCAAAAGGCACAGAAAGAGGGGGCGGGGAGCAGCGGGGAGAGATGGCCCAAACAATATATGCACATATGAATAAATGAATAAATAAACCAAAAAAAGACACAGAAATTAAACAAAAGTGTTAATCATATGTCAAACATAAGAAAGGTTTGGGAACTTAGTATGAAAAAAGTCCTGTACATCTTTTTCTGGGGCCAGTTTAAGTCCAATTCTTTGTCAATTTCTTTAGGGTTTTTTTTTTTAATAGGGTAGTTAAATAGATGATAAAACAGCTATAAAGGTCTTTAGTCATATTAAAGTACTTCATAATTATATGAATTGTAATTCTGTAAATGTTTAAATAATCTGATTGGTTCTATGTAATTTTAAGAATAACTTAATTAACAGAAAAGTAATATTTAGCACTTATCATTTTCTATATTTTATTTAACCAAAATAATTATAACCTCCTCCAAGACATATAAGACATGCTCTTGAAGTATGGTGCTCTTTTTGTTTTAAATTTATAACTCCAGTGTCTCTGCTCCATTTGTAATCAACCTAAACACTGTCCATTTTTTTTGGAGGGAATTTGAAAGCATGTCATTTTCTCTAAATGTAGTACTTAAAATCCATTCCTGCTGAAATTTGTTTCTTTTGTGCTGCTTCTTAAAGTTAAGTGGTAATTTGGATATCTGACCTTTCCAGTCCTTCTACTTCTCTTCCCTTTCAGTTTAGATTCAACTACTATTTCATTAAATGTTAAATTAGAGATGACAAGAGTAATAAAAGGAACAAACATTTCAGGTTCGGGTGACCTTGAACTATATAATTGTTTCAGCCTGTTAGGTGAAGCAGTTACCTTGTAGACATCATGGTGATCAACAATATGGTCAAAACTCTTATAGATGTCATTAAGCATGTCCACCACTTCCATGGGGGTGCTGTACTTGCAGATAGTAGTGAAACCTACAATGTCACTGAAGTAGATTGTAACTTCCTCATATAATTCTGGCTCCACGATGCCTTTCTCCTTCAGAGACTTAACCACTAGCCTAGATGAGGAAGGAAAAACAATGCCTTCAACTTCCATACGTATTTCCTGTCTTACATAAACATTTAGATTGTCCACCAGGACTATTGAGAATTTGACATTTTCAGTGAAAGCCAGCAAGTATCCAAGAAGCAAAAATAGGTTACATACACTGTACATAGGAACACTTTGCACACATGGACATATAATGCATGTATCTGAACTGAGAAGAATATAAGAAGATTCAGTCTTAACTTAGTATTTGGTTATTAACCCTAATACATATATTCACATAAACTTAATACCTATATAATTCTAATGCATATACATGCCTGCTCATTTTTTACCTTCTATTGGTAATCAGCTTCTTACAAATCAAGAAGCAGAGATGGAGAGCTTGACTCACTATGGCTGCTGCCAAATTTGATTTTCTCATCAAAGTCAATAGTTTTGCTTCCTTGGCATGTTTAACATGGTATTGCTTAATATCACTTTGAAAGAATAATGTATTTTAAATTAATTTTGACATATATATTCTAAGCCAGAATTTCATTGGTACATTTTGACCTGGATTTGGGTCCTGTGAAAACCAAGTCAATCACTATGTAAACAAGTTACAACGGTAGAACTGGAGATGTCAAAGAGAAGCAACTTAGAATAGCTTTGTTGAAGAGATTTAAAGAGCAACATATCAGACTGAAGATTAAAAGAATCACAAGAATGGACTCCAGGCTTCCTTTGAGAAAAAAAGAGTGGGGGCTGACATGAGGGTGGGTGCTTTCTGTCTACCCTGGGGAACACTTTGGAGTCAACCTAAATAAAGAACCATTAAAATCAGAACCCCAAAGTTCAGAGGTGCCACAGCAGCCATTGAGAATAAATCCTTTTACAGATGAAAAAGCTAAGGCTTCCAGAGGAAGTGTGAATTTCCTAGGAACATACAGCCCACTAAAGACAGAGCTGGAATTAGAACTTGGTGATATCCTGTCCTTCAGTCTTTTCATTATCCCACACTTCTTCCACAAGCCAGGCCATGGATATTCAGGGAGCTGGGGAAGATTGAGAGATGTGCTGACTATAGCAAAGGCAGTATGTCTGGCCTCCCAGAAAACACACAGCCAGCCAATCAGCCACAAGGCTGTGAAACATTCATTTGAGAACTTTCTATTTGGCTCAATTGGTGCAGTTGCACAACTTAGAAAAACACCTATTTGTTGTGGCAGATGTAGTTCTGGGGTAGTAGTTGTTGGCTTGCCAGGTATAAAGTGCAGAGCATTTTGGAGGTTAGAAGGATGTCATGATTACATTGGATTTTCTGCCTTTTTTGTCCTTAGATTTTTACTGCTTATATTGGAAGTTAGGTGAGTTTGGAAAACAGCACATTACCCAGAGAAAGACGCTAATGTTGGTAAAAATGGAGGAAGGGTATAACTTAACATGGTGAGCTTTGAGAACAGATTGTTGCCGACACAGATGGAGTTAGAAAACAGAGAAAGACTTGTCACAGAAAACAGAGAAAGGCTTGTCACAGAAGAAAAACTTCTATTTTACTATTTCAAAACCCCAAGGTACTGGTCACATAAACGTAAACATGTATGATATCCGGTTTCTACATTACCATCTGAGGTTTATTTATTCTTTTGCTACAAGTCTTTCTTTTGACTTCTAGTTATTATTCATGTATATTTTAACTTTGTTTTGCAAATATGAGGGATTTTCACATAGGTAATCAAAGTGTGTTTCCTGGAGTCATGGTATATGTAGCTATTGAAGAGACTGGCGCCTTTTCAAAACCTCTGGTGGTCCAAAACCATTTACCATCTAGTGGTCAAAGGGACTTATGAGACCAAAGCTAGGAAAGAGGCTGAGGTGCTAAGCCAGCTGTTTCGAACCATCTGAATGAAATTATTGGTTAAAACCACAGATACTGAAACCTGGGAAGGCAGTCAGACAGCCAGGATGTTGTGTGTGTGGTTTTTCAACTAGGCATAGAACGCCAGGCAAGGAATTGTGCATGATAGAATAAACATTTATGGAGCTCAGCTAAAAACTACCATCCCTGAAGTGAACATATAGGGTTCTAGCCTCTTCCAGGTGGACCAACCCGATTTGCCAACTCTTCACATTTTAATTCCTTGCTTACCCTAATATTCCTTAGTTATCGCCTGAGTGCAACACTTGGAAACATTAAGCTGTTTGGGGATTTCAATCTTACTTCCTTTCTCTCTGTCATGGCTGTGATATTGCTTCACAAAGCAGAGGTCAGCCTGTAGATGCCTTCGTGGTAGTAAGACATCTGATGTGTTCCCCCACCTCCTCTACTGCAGACAACTCCTACTTCTTGTAACTTGGATTCTACTTGTGGTGTAAAGAAGAAAGCAAAGAACTAATACTTAGTCCTGGAAAGCATTTTACAGCTCATGCATTCCACTGGCAAACTTTAATTTCCTTTTGGAGATTGAGGAATTGAGGCAAGACAGACAGTGACTGGTCTAAAGTCATAGACTTTGTAAAAGTGGTACAGAGGTGTTAGAATCCAGGGTGGTCCATGCAGAGTCCACACTCCTGTGACACCACACGGTCATTGGAAAATGACCTCTTTCTTTTAGGTATTCAGAGTGCAAATGAGAATAAGACTTAGCAAGCTACAGGCATTTTTATATCCGATAATCTGGTGAAGAATATGCCCGGGAGGGGGAGGGCTTGGCACCAGTGGGAGGGGCAGGTGGTGGGGAAAGTATAGGAGGGTGAATGAGGTGCAAATAATGTGTACACATTTACGTAAATGCAAAAATGATACCTGTTGAACCTGTTCCAGGAATTGGGGGAAAAGGAGGGATGAAGGAGAGTGGTGGAAGGGTGAATTCAAGTATGATATATTTGATACATTGTAAGAAGCTTTGTAAATGCACATTGTACCTACACTCAGAACAACAGTAAAGGAAAAAAAAAGAAATAATGCAATCTTACTAAAGTATATTTTATAAATTTGATTTTCATTAACCTTACATTCTTACACTGAGTCTATTTAAGTCTGGAGTTGGAAGAAAAACTGGAAAAAATAAAGAATATGCCAAAGAACACAATACTATACAACACACCAACAACAATGCTAGATAGGAAGGTTGATGCCTTCAGTCTTAAGCCATGAAGTCCACCTGTGGAACCATGGGTTTCCACATCCTTGAAGAAGTTGCCTTACCGTGGGAGCAACATGAAGTTGAGTCTGTCAGCCCTGTCCCTCTCTGCCTTGTACAGCTGTGTCCTTTCCTCTACCAGATGTTCCAAGTTTCGAGAATATAGCTGTAGACGTCGGATCAAAGTATCCATATAAGATTCATTTTTTTGGTCATGAAAAAGGCTGTAGGTAGTAATAGACAAAGAGTGCTTACACATTATTCAGAAAACGTGAACACTTAAAAAATGATGGATGGGGAATTAAACAAAGAAAAATCAAAAGGTCAGGAAACAAAAAAAATTGTTGTTAGGAGAAATCAAAGAAATAGGGAAAGTCTTTTAAAAAGAGAAAACAAATGTTAGAATCATGGTTATCAACACAGGAGGGAATACTCCAGATTACTGTAAAATGTGTCACAAACTTTAAAGATGCTTAATATCTACCTGCTCATCAAATCAGCTATGAATTATCCTAAGGAAACAAGCATTAATGAGTTCAAAGTTATCTACATAGAAAGCCACAACATCCTTCACAGAGCAAGCATTTAAAAATAACCTAAAGGTGCAATAAAAGCATAGTGTAAATATTATGTGCAATGCAACATTAATGGAACACTAATGCAAATTAGGATAGTTGAATACACAGAAAGATGCTCCCTCTATATTATTCAATGAAAAAGTCAGTTTATAAAAATAGCAAAAATTAGAAGCCCCATTTTATTTTTTGAACACCTAGTGATCATCGACTATAAAACAGATATTTTTACTTTCTTGCTTACTCATTCACATTTTCTAAAATTTTAATAATATGCAATTTGCAGTAAAGGAAAACCTTGAGCCAGGGTCCTACAGCAAAAACCTATCTCTGGATTATTTTGTTAGAACAGGAGGCAGAGATAAGATGCTAGTTTTGTGTGACACAGGTAAGTCAGTGTAGAGCCCAGGGCAGAGACACCTTGAGTTCTCTTGGCGTCCTGTGACTCAGAGATGATGTTCCTAACGTGTGAGAGCACAGTGGCAGGTGCTGACAAACCACGGCCATTTCATCACTACAATAACATTTACAAGTTGCCACTTCTGCTTTCTGGAGAAAGTGGCTTATATCCTAATCCCCTGGAGTGAGGAGGGATACTTGTTAAAAATCCAGTATATTTCTGAGTCTTACCCAGACCCATTGCTAGGCACAGGATTAAGAAACTGCAAGTTTTTGGTTAGCAGTCTGCAAAAAACTGAAACTAGATCCATGTATATCACCCTATACCAATATTAACTCAAAATGGATCAAGGATCTTAATATCAGACCACAAACTCTAAAGTTGATACAGGAAAGAGTAAGAAATACTCTGGAGTTAGTAGGTATAGGTAAGAACTTTCTCAGTGGAACCCCAGCCCACAGCAACTAAGAGGTAGCATAGATATATGGGAACTCATAAAACTAAAAAGCTTCTGTTCCTCAAAAGAAATGGTCTCTAAACTGAAGAGAACACCCACAGAGTGGGAGAAAATATTTGCCAGCTACACATCAGACAAAGGACTGATAACCAGAATATATAGGGAACTTAAAAAACTAAAGTCTCCTAAAACTAGTGAACCAATAAAGAAATGGGCAAGTGAACTGAACAGAATTTTCTCAAAAGAAGAAATTCAAATGGCCAAAAAACACATGAAAAAATGCTCACCATCTCTAGCAATAAAGGAAACGCAAATTAAAACCACACTAAGATTCCACCTCACCCCTGTTAGAATAGCCATCATCAGCAATACCACCAACAACAGGTGTTGGTGAGGATGGGGGGAAAAAGGAACCCTCTTACACTGTTGGTGGGAATGTAAACTAGTACAACCACTCTGGAAAAAAATTTGGAGGCTACTTAAAAAGCTAGACATTGATCTACCATTTGATTCAGCAATACCACTCTTGGGGATATACCCAAAAGACTGTGACACAGGTTACTCCAGAGGCACCTGCACACCCATGTTTATTGCGGCACTATTCACAATAGCCAAGTTATGGAAGCAGCCAAGATGCCCCAGCACTGACAAATGGATTAAGAAAATGTGGTATCTATACACAATGGAATTTTATGCAGTCATGAAGAAGAATGAAATGTTATCATTCGCTGGTAAATGGATGGAATTGGAGAACATCATTCTGAGTGAGGTTAGCCTGGCCCAAAAGACCAAAAATTGTATGTTCTCCCTCATATGTGGACATTAGATCAAAGGCAAACACAACAATGGGATTGGACTTTGAGCACACGATAAAAGCGAGAGCACACAAGGGAGGTGTGAGGATAGGTAACACACCTAAAAAATTAGTTAGCATTTGTTGCCCTCAACACAGAGAAACTAAAGCAGATACCTTAAAAGCAACTGAGGCCAATAGGAGAAGGGGACCAGGAACTAGAGAAAAGGTTAGATCAAAAAGAATTAACCTAGAAGGTAACACACACTCACAGGAAATTAATGTGAGTCAACTCCCTGTATAGCTATCCTTATCTCAACCAGCACAAACCCTTGTTCCTTCCTATTATTGCTTATACTCTCTCTACAACAAAATTAGAGATAAGGGCAAAATAGTTTCTGCTGGGTATCGAGGGGGTAGGGGGGAGAGGGAGGGGGCAGAGTGGGTGGTAAGGGAGGGGGTGGGGGCAGGGGGGAGAAATGACCCAAGCATTGTATGCACATATGAATAATAAAACAATAAAAATTAAAAAAAAAAGAAACTGCAAGTTTTAATAAGCTGTCAGAGGATTCTTTCTGGACCCCACCTAGTGCTGGGTAGAATAAGTGAGGAGCAGGTGGGAGGGATGAAGATGGATTGTTTCACTCTAGTATCATTGGATTCAATTAAAAAAGTCTCAGCTGCACATCTTAATTACCTGGGGAGCTATTAGCCCCACTGATGCCTGCCTGTACCCTTATATCAGGCTCCCTGGGGTAGAACTCAGAGTTCAGCACTTTGGAAGCTCATCAGTTCACTCCAACATGTAGCCAGGTTTGAGAGCCACCAACCCATCCAAGGCTAAGTTCAGGGGCCCTGTTTGTCTTCATGAATTTCATCTGTCATTGTATAGTCTCATCTGATCTTAGTAACAAGTTTGTGAAGAAGAGGCAAGAATTAAATCCTTTATTACTTCCTGCCCCATTCGCACACCTGACAGCTCAGTTCTCCGAGTCAATGACCACACTCTCATTAACTTTATCATAGCCAGCCCTGGGCTTTTAGCCTCATTAAGTATCTGATTTTTTTGACCCAATGAGAACTACAGAACGTTAGGACTGGAAGGAATGTAGAAATCATCTTGTTCGGTCCAATTTTACTAATGAGAACATCAACACCCAGTGATGGGAAGTGTTTGGTCCCATGTCCCACTGCAGGCTATTATCAGATTCTAGTGTGGAAACTGGAGCTCCCAACTCTTAATTCACTGTTCTTTTCCCCATCTGCAATGTGTTAGCTGAAAACATGAGACATGTAGAATTCAATCTTACTGGATAATTTGTGTGCTACTTTTGCTTTGACTTTGAATTACCTGATTCATGACACAAATCTTCAGTATGTAACACTAAAGCTGGTAACTTTTACGATCTTAAGAATGTGCTAATCTTAAGAGATATCTAGAGGCTTTATTGATAATCAGGACACATGATAGACTTCTAAATCCTAATTACCTGCAGAAGGGTCTGGAAACCATATTTTGAACAGAAAAATTTGTGATTGGTCAGAACTTATTTTTTAACCAGACAAGTTTGAACCTTGAGTATTTAACTTTTCAAGTGATTATGTCCCTGAGAAAATGGAATGTTAGTCTCCATCATTTTAATTTTATGAGACAGGTGTTGGTCACAGTCCGAGATTTTTCACTGGAAGAGGCATTTTTATTTGTTGGTGCTACTGCATGTCAACTACTGGAAAATCCAAAATTGGTGAAGAAAAGTAAAAATTTCTGCCATACCCAAATATCTTGGCCAGAGTGTTCTCAATTTTCTTGAAATCTGGTCTCTTCTCTGGATCTTCCTCCCAACAGTTTTTTACCAGTAGGTAGACCTGAAAGAAAAAAGGGAAGGATTCATTCAGGGGATGGTAACTAAATTGATATGGATATGTGTTCTCTTCTCTTCCTGGATGGGAGTAATTAAGTCAGGGAATATTTAAAAATATCTCCAACTCTGACAATGAGAAGGAGTCTCCAGCTCTATGTTTTCTGTCTTGGGCATCAACACTTCCACTACCTTAGATAGCCTTTCCCTTGGGTGAAGTTAATGAAAAATTAGATAAAATTTAGACAAGCTGATTGATGGAAGAGACTAAATGCTTTACAGGAGTGTGCAGAGTTTACCTTGAGGGAGGGCAAAAAATTACAGGACTTGGTGAGGATTAGATGAGGGACTCTACATGAGAAAAACAGCTCTACCTTCAGTGGTTCTCAGCTGCAGCTAGCAGTAGAATTGCCTGGGGAGCAGGTTTGAAATTTCTTAGTCCCAGGAGCTATCCCAAGGGATTCTGATTTCACTGGTTTGTGAAGTGACCTTACTAGGGCTCCCAGAGTTAGCAAATAACAACAAAGGACAGCCAGTTAAGTTAGAATTTCAGATAAACAATGAATAATTCATTAATATAAGTGTATCCCAAAATTTGGGCAAAGAGTATCAGTATATATATTTTTAAGTTCTCCTCATGATTGTAAAGCACAGGTGCCTTGGAGAAGAAACATAGAGAAAAGGGAGGTGTGTAGGAAGAGTAAACAGGCAGGAGGCTATGGGACCCTCACTTCATCTGACACCATGTATTTACAGCTCTTGCTGTAAAAATTTTGATCAAAAAGGGAGGTAAAAGCCATTTATTCTGAGTAAAGTCTGTTCTTCAGTCTGGATAAGAACAGGCTTATAAATAAATGGTACCACATGCAATTTCTGTCCCTGTACTTTGCCTGATCAATTCCCTGGGAAGAGACTAGAGCCATGACAGAGCCCCTGTCTACCCAGCTCCACCACAAGGTGATGTTTTGCCTTCATAAGTGGTCTGCTGGCTACCTTGCAGAATGGACAGAAACACCCAACCAAGTGGCTGAACGTGCAGATTTGGCTCCAAAGACTGAAATGAGGGATCCAGTTTTAGGTCTTTATTCTGTTGGAACCAGATACTAGACATGAAACCTTTTTTCATTTCCAACTCCAGAAACATGGAACTACACAAATGAATTGAGGATGGTAATGCTTTGGGGGGAAAGGTTTTAATCATCTCAATATATATGCAGCTCTCTAACCATATCCATAGGTTCTGCTTCCACACCCATGGATTCAACCTACTGCAGACTGAAAATATTCAGAAAAACATTTGGGTCCATATTGAACATGTACAAACTATTTCTTGTCATTCCCTAAACAATACAGTATGACAATTATTCACATAAAGTTTACATTGTGGTGGGTATTACAAGTGTTTTAGACATGGTTTCAAGCATACAGGAGGTGCATAGGTTTTATGCAAATGCTACACCATCTTATGTAAGGGACTAATATATACAAAGATCCTGGTATCTGCAGATCCTGGACCCAATTCCCTTTGGATACTGAGGGATGACTGTGCTCAGACTAGACTCTAGATATGCTGATTGTGGGGAGAATCCCACGATCCAGATGGTGGGGAGTGGAGTATGAGAAGAATATAAGAGTTTGACATAGCAAAATGTAGCAGCACAGCTACATTCAGAGAGTAGCCATCAAAGGTTTCTCTTGTTACACTGTCACTCCCCTCCCTGAGAACTATTGCTCCACCTCCTTGTTTGCCCCTGTATATAAAAGACTTGCTGAAGGAGGATTTGGTTTTGGTTTGGCTGGCTGCTACTGCTGACACTGCAGGTGGCTGCTGCTGTGTGTCTGTGAGTCTAAGGACCTAAACTTTAGGAGTTATGCTAGAGATTGGAAGAAACATGGGACAGTGCAAGTTGGAGGACTGAGACTTTAAAGAATAGAAAAGAAGTAAGGCTTTAAAGAATAGAGAAAAGTAAGGTTTTAAGGAATAGAGAAAAGAAGCAAAGTAAAAAAAGAGAAGTGAAAAGTTATGCTGTTGTGCGTCTCCATCTGAGCACCCAGCACACCTGACACCGGCTTTGTGCCTATCTTTTGTCTTTTCTGCATCTCCAGTCATCCCCAGTTAGGTCGGTAGGACAGGAGCTCACATGGGGCTCAAGACATACAAGTTTGAAGGAAGGGAGTAGTGATAGGAACAGTTGTATCTTAGAGTCCTGGGCTGTGATGTATCTTTGCTGTTGAAAAAGAGACAGCAGAAGAGAGCTAAGAGTGGCCCACTCATACCAGGCAGGGTCTGGTCCTCTGGTCCTAAAAACTTATCTTACAAATGGAAGGAAAATGTTTCTACTTTTATCCACAAAGAACAAAAGGTATTGTTTGTATTTTTTTTAAATAAACACCACAGATTTTAAAGTACTCCTTATCTTCTTGGATTTCTAAAACTCAGATAAAAATTTTAAGTAAATTTTCTTTTCTCAGCCCTTTAAGGCCTTTTTGAAAGACTGTTAAAAAGTTAAGCAAATACAGAAAGAAAATTTCCTTTTCCTTCAGAGGAAGGGGAGAAGTAGCAAAAGCACATTCCTCTATATTTTCTAGATGTTGTATTTATTTTTAAATTAGTAGGTTGTACATCTAATTAAGTACATCACATACATCACATGGACATCTTATTTTTTTTGTTTTCTTTTTTTTTGGAGGGGGTACTGGAGTTTGAATTTAGGGCCTTATGTTACTAGGGAGGTGCTCTACCACTTGAGCCATGCCCCCAGCCTTCTTTTCTTTAGTTATTTTTCAGATGGGGTCTCTTTTTTGTTTGTTTTGTTTTTAGTTAGGGCTGGCCTGTGATCACCCTACATATGGCTTCCCAAGTAGTTCAGATTATAGACGTGACCAACCATGCCTGGCAATCTCTTGTTCTGTTAGCTCATCAAAATTGAGACTGTGATGTGTCTTTTAAAAGCCAGCCCTTTCCTGAGTTGGAAGAGAAGGGGAAGGGAATGGGGAGCAAACATAGGCTGATAATAGGTCCCAAAGGTATATCTGTGTCCTAACCTCTATAGCCTCTTACAAATGGAAGGAAAATGTTTCTACTTTTATCCACAAAGAACAAAAGGTATTGTTCTGAGATGGATAATCCCAAGACTCCTTATGGAGAACTTAACCTATGAGGAGAACCCTGTACTTACATACCTATGCTTAAATTTAATCTAAATTAGGCATAGTAAGAGATCAACAAAAATAGCTAATGACAAAATAAAACAATTGTAATGATATATTGAAAAAAAATTGCCAGCATTACTACATATGCACTCGGAAACCATTATTAAGTAAATAATTGCTTGACTATAAGCATTCAATACCTCAACAGTAAATCTGATGCTCTAGGTGCCTACTGAGTGACTAATGGGAGGGTAGCATGTGCAGTGTGGATATGTTACACAAAGGGGTGATTTATATCTCCAACAGAGCATGAAGTTTCATCATGCTACTCAGAATGGTGCACAATTTAAAAGTCATGAATTGTTTATTCTGGAATTTTCCATTTAGTAGTTTTGGACCTCAATAACTTGGGTAACTGAAACCACAAAAAGCAAAACTACAGATAAGGGGACTGTTGTATTTGGAAGAAAAAAAAAAGGTTCTTACAGATACAATTAAAAGTCTTGAGATGTGGCAATTATGCCCCATCTCACCTGGGTGGGTCCAGAAGCAGTCATGTGTCCTAATAGTTAGAATGTAGGTGTAGAACAGATAGAAGAGAAGAGAATGTGAGCAAGAGGCAGAGTGTGCACCACAAGCCAATGACTGTCAACAGCCACCAGAAGCTTCTAAAGTACACAAAGAATGGATTCTGTCCTTAAAGTAGCACAGCCTTGCCAACAACTTGATTTCAGACTTCGAGCCTCCAGAATTATAACTGAACAAATTTTGATTGTTTTCACCCACTAGGTTTGTGGTCAATTGTAACACAGGAACATAAATGAATGCAGGGAGTATGTACTTACTTCCAGCTCCTTTTCCTCCGCTGTTTCCAGGAATAGGTCTGGGCGGAAGGGTTTTATTCCATAAGCATTTTCTACTCTGAAAATCTTCTCTGATTGGATGAGAATAAGTAAATAATAAGAAACGCATAAAGACTTTTTCAGCAGACTCTGAATTGGTTTCCGCCCCCCTCCCCCATGGCACTTGTGGGAGTGTCATAGAACCTGTTGGTTCTCTATAGATAGATGGTGAATGACACAAAGGTGGAGTCTTATCCCACTTATAACGTGGCGATAACCTTATGGGTGCTGCTGATGCTCTAAAACTCATCTCACCTGCCTTAGTCTTCCTCTGTCCACCACTCTGCTCCTGCTCCATAGATGCCTTAGTCATCCAAGAGTTGACACATAATAAATTCTCAAGCAGTGAGGATCAGATGGATGGATGAAGCATGTTCCTCTTGAGAGGACGTGACAAAAAACCAACCAACCAACCAGCCAAATAAACAAAACTCCTCTCTTAGTAAGAACTAAAATATGTGTGTTGTCTGACTGGAGTGCCTAGGTCAGTTGTTAAGCAGACATATTCTTATTGTAATGAATCAGAAGGAAAGGGAGAAATTGTAAGGGAAAAGTTCTTTAGCAATAATACTGACCATGACATCTGGCAGTGTTCATTGTCTATGCTTTTCAGAGCCCTCTCACATTGGATCCTTCCAATCCATGGACAATTTGCAGCCCAGATGAGAAGTTACTACATTCGTAGGTGAGGGGTGGTCTGGCTCCTCTCACCAGTGGAAGCTGATGAGGAGGTTCCGACTTACCATTGTGGTCCCGGCAGCTCAAAGTGTAGAAGGTTTCTCTCCGCAGGATGATCTCCTGGGCGATGATCCCATAGCTGTACACATCTCCTTTCTGAGAGACATTGGCTTGGCGGAGGTGCTCTGGGGCTGTCCACAAGTCTGTGTGTGTAGATATTGAGATGGCGAAAGTTGAGGGAGGAGTGGCTTGTGCATCTCCAACCTGCTTTTCCTTTCCCTCCCTCCTTCCCTCTCTCCCTACCTTTCTTCCTCCCTTCATTCCTTCCTCCCCCTTTCTCCCTCTCTCCCTCTCCTCCCTCCCTTCCTAAGGCAGTGCTGAGGATGGAATCCAGGGTCATGGGCATGCTAGGCAAGCCCTGTACCATTGAGCTGCATCCCCAGCCCCTTGCTTTTGTTCTGTAACTCCCTACACAATCCACCCTGAATACAGGGGTCTTTGAATTGATAAGGTTCCAAACTTTTGAGATGTTCTTGCTAACACAAGTGAAAGGAGGTGCAACACACACTTACTTTTTAAGCCAACCATGAAATTCCAGAATTGGGGTGAGGCTATATGGGAATATGTTCTCTACAACTGCTAGGCTAATGATACTGAAAACTTTTAAGGTTTACTTAGAAGAGGGGCTGGCAGACAGGAAGTACTCAGTAAATATATGTTGAATGAATGCAGTACACTATGAGAGGCTGACAAATTTATTTTTTAATATTTTTGCAGTTCTGAGGATTGAACTCAGGGTCTTGTGCATGCTAGGCAAGTGCTCTACCAGTGAGCTACACCTAGCCTGAGGCTGCGGTATTTAACAGCTAATGGAGCAAATGGAATGAATCTCTGAAAGCTTTTAGAAATGGCTCAAGCAGTAAGAGTGTCTGCCTAGCAAGTGTGAGGCCCTGAGTTCAAACCCCAGTGCTGCCAAAAAACATGTATCTTCAATCTATATTCTATTATTTAAATTATTATAATTTATTATTTCTTGTTTTAAATATATAGTGACTGTTATGATTTGGAAATGAAATGTCCTTCCAAAAGGCTTATGTATTGAGGCCTAGTTGATGGTGCTGTTGTGGGAAGTTCTGGAAACTTTAGGAGGTGGGAGTTAACTTTAGGAGGAAGTAGGTCACTGGGGGTGTGTCTTTGGGGCTAGATCTTGCCCTGACCCTTTCCTGTCTCCTATTGTGCTTCCAGGTCTTCATGAGGTGAACAGCCTCCTTCTCCGTAGGTTCCCACAGCCATGATGCCTCAGGCTTTGCCTCAGGCACAAACTAATGAACCATGGGCTGAAACCTCTGAAATGGTGAGCCCAAGAAAATCTTTCCTCCTATTACATTGTTCATGTCAGGTGCTTGTGACAGCAACAGAAAGGCTAACTAGCACTGTTACTAGGATAAGATAAAAATAACACATTTAAACAAACACTGTCATTGACATTTTCCTGTGGCAGTGTACTGGCAGCCTCCAAGTCAGCTAGAGCCAGAGCTCTGAAGGTCCCACAGTATTCTTTAAAAATCTGATGCTTGTAATTTCCTCACATTTTACTCTATTCCTGACAGTCTCATGCCTTACATCTAGTTCATTCTACACAAGTGAAAAGCCTGTATGCCCTGTGTTTCGTTTCTGTGGGCACTTGTGTTTTGGACCCCCATTACATATCTTATTTAGCAATGATAGGGACATACAAATAATTTTCCTTCACCATCCCTTGGAAAGTTTCAGTATCACCTAACTCCTTGAAAACCTTTTGAGATTTCTCTCTTTAGCAGTTTCAATGGACAATGTATAGATTCACATGACACGTTCAGTGCTCATCACAAATATATCTGCTGATATGTTTATGATGACATATACTTTCCCCAATTGGTTTTCCAAATATACATTGCTTTTTTATTTCTTCTTGAGACAGGATCTTACTATGTAGCCCAGGCTGGCCTTGAACGCTTGATTCCTCTGCCTCCTGAGTACTGGGATTGCAGGCACATGTCACCACACCAGGCCCTACATTGTCTTTTTGGACAGTACTGGGGTTTGAACTCAGGGCTTTGCACTTGCTAGGCAAGTGCTCTACCACTTGAGCCATGCCTCCAGTTCTATATTGCATTCTTAAATTCCTGTTTTATGAATAGTTGTGATTCGTGTATCATTGATCCTAAAGGTTTGAGATTGTTGAAAGGCAAATAAATCTACTTAAGCCGTACCCTCAAGTGACTGGCAACACAGATAGGCAGGTACAAATGAGCAATGTTCAGAAGGATGGGATTTGACCCGAAGGTCATCTAATTTGTTCATAGTGGGTCATGTGGAAGGATATTTGTTTCACTACCTCATAAGCCATGCTTGGCACACAGTAGTTCTTTTAGAAGAACTTACTGTGTTGAGTCTAATATCCTGATATACTTGGCGTGACATAGAAGTACAAGCAGAATTGTAATTCTGTTTTTATTAAGGAAAAACCAAAGGACTACTGAGGGCGTGTCATTGGGGGCTAGATCTTGCCCTGACCCCTTCTTCTCTCCTCTGTTTCCTGGCTTCCATGACGTGAACAGTCTCCTTCACAGGCTCCCACAGCCATGATGCTCAGCTTTGCCTTAGGCCCAAACAAATGAACCAAGAACTGAAACCTCTGAAACAGTGAGTCCAAATAAATCTTTCCTCCTTTTACATTGTTCTTATCAGGTGCTTGTGACAGCAACAGAAAGTCTGACCTCAAATCTTTAGGATCAATTATATGTGAATCACAAATACTCATAAGACAGGAATTTAAAAAGGCAATATAGAACTGGAGGTTTGGCTCCAATGGTAGAGCACTGGCATAGCAATGTAAGGTCCTGAGTTTAAACCCCAGTACCATGCCAAAAAGCAGTGTAGGGCCAGGCATGATGACACATGCCTGCAATCCCAGTACTCAGGAGGCAGCAGCAGGAGGATCAAAATAGAGTTCAGATTTGGTGTCGAGGTAATATTTTGAGGCAACATGAGTCCTACATTTCTAAAGGTGTCTCATTGTGACTTACAGTAAAGACAGGATAAATATCCAAAGTGAAAAACCCCTCATACTTTACAAGTCACATGTCTTCATATTACTTTTTCTGATCCTCACCACAATCCTGAAAATAAGTAAGACTACACTGATAAGAGTTGTTTTAAATCATACCTTATAACCACAGATAAATAAATGAGGTCTAGGATAAGACATGGGTCTTCTTCTTTGTTCCCTGTCTTCTTGGCAAAACTCTCATCCACTCTGTCTCAATTCTCTTCAACAAAGGAAGAGAGTTAAACCAGATCATTTCTAGGGTTTCTCCCTGTGCTAATCTTCCACAAGCCATGAGTTCTTCACAATTTCTCGTTGATATCAGGGGACACACAGCTGAACTTGAGGATAACATGCACAGAGGACATTTGTTTAACTCAAGAAGCGCTTGTTGACAGAAAAACGTGAGGTGCTGCAGACTGAGCCAGAATGTTGCCTCCTGTGGCTCCAAGTATTTATTTTCTGATCAGTTTCACCATTTCCTGGGCATTCTACGTGGCTTGGCAGAAAATGTAAAGAGAAAATGAATGTAGGATGCTAGTAAAAATTCCATTCATTACTGACCTTTTTTGGGAGGTAAAATGGAATTGCAGCCAAAATCAGTGATCTTCACGACCATTCTGCTGTCTACCACGCAGTTAGTGGACTTCAGGCGACCATGGACTTCAATCTTACTCGAGTGCAAATAGGACATCCCCTGATTTTTTTCCAGATGATAAGAAAACAAAGACATGACATCCTTTGGCTGCTTGATTATTTTAAAGAAATAAGTGACATTTTGAAACTATTTCAGTATACAGACAGCCATGTGATCAGTTTTTAAATTTAGTGCTATTAATTTTTCTTTAAAAATATTATAAGTCCTAATATTTGTCTGTGCATTGTGACATATATTTAGGTAACAGAGTAAAAAGGAAAATGTCTAAAGATTCTGATTAAGTAGTTGAGGTACAAGGTGGATATTTTTAAAGTATTTCCACTCAACACATATTTGGTCTGTGACCCTGTTTGTGTCTCTGGTCCTTGGCTAATTTTAAAATATGAATAATATTTCTGAAAGCCCTTGCCTTTCAGAAGGTAGAGGCTGGGCTGCATTACATTCTAAAGTTGAATCTAGTTCATTCCTTCTGTTTTGAAAGTGGAAGTCTATTTTTTGGCTCATATGCTGCTCTCTGGTGGCCAGAGGTGTCACAGCAGAAAGTGGTTTTCAGCCAGAATCACAGGAATGAAATGTGGATGGCAAACAGTTATAATAACGTTTTGTTCTGATTCTGATTCTATGTGACTTTCATATGATTTAGGACAGACTTTTCTTGATTCTTGAATGAGGCCCTGATTACTGGTGTCTACCATGTCTGTGTGTAATCATGTTCAAATTTCTACAGCCTCATGAAAAATGCCTGCCTGCAATTAATATAAAATTGAAGATTAAGTTAATTGAGGATTAAGTTGCCTTCTCTACAGTTTTATATGATTTTGACTTCTCACAAATGTATGAAAATGTGTGTGTTACACCCAGAATACAAAGATATAATGACAAAAACTAATATAACCAATACGTATTGAACATTGGCTTTTACCAGGCCTTGTAGGAAGCACATGCATTATTCCATTTTAAAAAAACCTCACATAAGACATAGCTCTTCTTACTCTCATTTCGCAGATGAAGAAACCAGTGCACAGGGAAGTTGAGTAACTGCTAGATCTGTTTTTTTATGTTTAATTTTCATGAATGTCTTTTGTGTTTGTAGGTCTCTTACCTTAGCAATATCATACAAGACAGAGATCTTAAACTCCCAATCCATGAATGTTCCATCAGGGTAGGAAATTGTGTCATTTAAAACTTCCTGAGTAAGAGAAAAAGAGGAAGAAGATGAGTTGTTGCAAGGAAAGTGTGAGAATGCTATTATGAGCCACATAGAGATTTCATGGACTCATGGGAACAAATTGGAACTTCATTGTTCTGGTTTCCAAGAACAGAGTTGTTTGGACCTTGCCCTGTGTATCTCTTCATCTGTGTCCTTTAAAATAAGCCAGTTATAGTAAATAAACTGTTTCCCCTGAGTTCTGAGAGTCACTCTAGCAACTTATCAGATTCAAGAAGGGAGTCATGGGAGCTCCAGGTTTATAGCTGGTTGGACAAAGGAGGCATGGAACTTGCAACTGGTGTCTGAGGTGAGGACATCTTGTGGGATGGAACCCTTAACCTATGCATTCTGATTCCTAGTGTCAGAATTGCCTGAACACCCAGATCTGTCCAGAGAATGGAAGAGTTGGTTGTTGATGCAGGACCCCCCATGTCTGATGTCTGAAGGGTGGGTGAAACTGGTTCAGAATTGGGGCTCTAAATTTTTACTTTCCAAGTCAGGTTTGCATGATTATATAGCTTTTGAAAAATTTCCTTTTTAAAGATATTATAATTTAATTCTGATGAAATATTCTTTCATAGTTAGAAGCCTCTTCTCACTGCTTTTTCTCTCTCTCTTTTTTTTTTGGCAGTACTAAGGTTTGAAGTCATGGCCTCATGCTTGCTAGGCAAGTGTTCTATCACTTGAACCACACCACCATCTCTTTTTGCTTTAGGCAATTTGTCAGATAGGGTCTTTTTGCCTGGGACCAGCTTCAAACCATAATTCTCCTATCTATGCCTCCCATGTAGCTGGGATGATAGGTATGAGCCACCACACTTGGTTTATTTGTGGAGATGGGATCTTGCTAACTTTTTTCCCAGGTTGGCCTCAAATGGAGATCCTCCTAATCTCTGCTTGCTGAATAACTGGGATTACAAGTGTGAGACACTGTGCCTGGCCCACCTGCTTTTTTATTCCCACTATTTTGTATATTTGCTTGTTTATTTATTTAATTTTGGTGGTACTGGGATTGCTATGCAGGCTGTCTCTCACTCGAGCCATGTCTTTAGAAATATTTTTTTAAATCATAATTTGAAGTGAGAGACTTGCGTGTTTTTAATATTTTATTAAAACTCACAAGTGCATGTTAAGAGTCTATTTTGCTTTATAATGACTGATATTTAAAAGTTTCTTTGCCTTAGGTCATAGTTATTCTTCTAAATTTTGAGAATACATTTGGAGAGCTGGTGCTCTTGCTTTTGTAAAATTGAAGCTTATTGAAGAATTAAGAATTTCCATATTAGTTTTAACAAGTGGTGATTTAAAAATTTTATTGAATTATGAATATTTGGATCTCTTTGAAGCTGCCAGTGATAGCCTTAGGGTTCTGGCTTTGTTATGAGGATGTGAAGTTATTGGAGGCATTGGTTGCGAATGTCACCCAAAGGCAGAGTGATCATACATATGGTTTGCTTGGGCTGGTTACAGTCTGTACATGTTATTCCAGCATAATTATTACAGTATCCCCTTCACTGTCACCCAGAGATATCTGAAAGGCTGAAAGCTGTCATAATACATGCCCAGACACTTCTCCGGGTGAGGTGCAAATATTTCAGCGCTCTCTGCAGCCATTGTCCAGGTTTCTTGCCCTTTTTCAGGTTGTGTTTCTGCTTGACACCTGCCTTTGCTCTCTGCGCGTGGACTACGCTTGCCTTTCAAAGCTATACTGTGACTTGATGTGCCTAGCTTGAAGCTGCTTCTTCCCGTGACCTTGACTCAGTCCTATTGTTCTTCCTCTTTCTTCTAGGACCTGCTCAGCCAGAATACTTGACCCCATTTGGCAACCTCTTGTAAGACAGTGGGGTAGAAAGTACAGGGGCAGAACCAGGACTTATGAACCAGTCTTCCGGTGTTCCTTTTGGTGTTGACATAGCAACCATCCACTGCTCTTTTTTTTTTAGGGGAGAGTGCGAACGCAGTCCCCCACTACCACAAATTATGCAGTCGAGTTTCCCACATTTGGGGAAATCGCAGGGGTCAGCACATCCGGAGTGCAATGGATAAGCCTCGCCCTGGGAAAACCACCTTCGTGATCATGGTATCTCCCCTGCCAGGTAAGTATGCCACTGCTCTTTTAATGCAAAGGTGAATACTCAAGTAAAAGAAAATACATTTGAAGTAATCACTCACTTTCACTTTTCCATTTACTTTCTCTGATTCTCCCCTTCCTCAAATCTACACACCTTTTTTGAATATTGTGTGGCTTGTTTGTAAAGATATAAGACTAATAAAAATCTGAGGAATATAGTTTGGGAAGTATGTGGACCCACCAACTTTCCTCATAATTTTCTAATATCATTTCACTTGCTAAATATTTTAAACAGTCTACTGGATATTTTTTTCATATGGTAGACTACTTACGAAACTGTTAATGACAATGGTTTCTTACCCGGAGCGATCCTCTCTCACAGTATTCAATCACCCCAAAGATTCTGGTGTCCAGCTTGACTGTGCCATAGAACTTGGTCAGGTTGTAATAGTCAGACTGAAGCAACTAGAATATGAGCCAGAGAGGAGTGTTCCATAGTCAAGATTTATGTACAATAAAACGTGTTTCATTTGTGATCTTCCATAAGAAGTATTGCTCTTAATAAAAAGAGTCACAACACGCCTTTCTTACTACACACCTTGTTATCTTAATGTCTTTCTTTTGTCAGCAAAGGAACTTGAACAAAAACTCTAGCTACTTTTCCACAATATTGGGACCATATTTTTTAAATGTTTTACACCATCAAACTTTACTCTCTAACATTGGTAGAATTTTCTTGGCAGAATTTTCAACAAGAAGCAAAGCTGTCCATTTCTTTGTCTGGGGGCTTCTCTGTCAGTATCTGCAAGAACACCACTAGGTACCTCCATGTTTAGGGAAAAAGGATGGGAACTAATTCTCAAGAGTTTGAAGCCCAGGACACATACCTTATTCAATTCTATCTTCTGTTTCTCAGTGAAATTTCCATCACTGTGCTTGAGATCTTTGAGAATCACTCGCTGTAAAGATCAATTGATTAAAGAGATATTGTTGTAGTATAATTCCTTATACGCATGGTATAGTAATTTGTTTTCATGTCCTATTAGATGGTTAGTTTTTAGAGTAGTATTTGATTAATGTCTACATCTACGGTGCCTAGTACTTGGTATATAGTAGGCTTGGGTGTGAATACTTCTTGTTGAATGACTAGGGGAAATAGAAGACAAGAAGGGAGGAATAAAGGAGGTAAAGAGAGAGAAAAAGAGGGAGGGAGAGAAGGCGGGAGGGAGAGAGAGAGAGGAAGGGAGGGAGGAAAAAAGGAAAAATATGCAAACCTCCATGTGGGATTTTCAGGAATGAACTATAATATAAGGGTTGTGCTGAGTGCTCTGGGTCTCTTTCATGTTTCCTTTCCTTCCTATTGTCCACCCTTCCCAAATATTCCATTTGCCCTTCCGTTTCCCCAGGATAGTGAGTTGGATTTGTTATTGTTTGTTTATTGGAACCGGGGTTTGAACTCAGGACTTTGTGCTTCCTAGGCAGGTGCTCTACTGCTTGAGCTGTGCCTCCAGCCTGTGGACTGTGAGTTCTGTAACTTTGAGGCAGAGCCCTGCCCATCCCTGTGAAGCTCCAGGAACTGCCTCTTCAAGCAACCTGGGCACCCCTACCATTGTGCTGCCAAGGTCAGAGACTGGGGTAAGGACAGGTCAGAAGACATAGCACATACCCAAGTTGAGAGTTCAGAGAAGCAGAGAAGACTATAGTCACCTTTTGGTCATATTTGCATTGTCGTAGTCTCTGGATTGGATCTCGTCTCTTGTCATCATCAATCTGGCACAAGAAAAGTCTAATTATTCCCCACCTTCATATCTGTCCTGACCACTGCCAGCAGAGGCCAAGAGACTCCTCCAAGGGAGCTGTATCTGTTGTGTGCTCACCCAGCATGTGGGCAGGCTCCCAGAAACACTTGTAATTAACTTGCTTTTCCAGCCCACTACTCTCCTTCTCTTTCCAACAATCTCTTCTTCCAAGAGATCTACCACTCTCATGCTCATCTCTGGGGTTTCCTCCCTTCCTCTTTCCTCCCTCCCTCTTCTGCACCTGCTTCATCCAGGGATTTTCTTTGCTTCCTTCCACCTTTAGCTCCCTCCTTCTGAGAATCATTGCCTATAGCTATAGTCAGATGCTCTTACAGAAGGATGCCAGAGAAGGATGCTGTGCATTTGAGTTGCAAATTTATGTCTAAAGGGCCATGTACCAACACAAACTGGGCCAGGTGTCTAAGGGGAGCAGTCCGATCAGGTCTGGGTTTAGTCAGATCAGCTGATTTGTCAAACGAAGCTAATAATACAGATTTTTGCTTTCTAGTCCATGATATTTATAAGTGGGCGATTGATTTAAAAGATGTTAAACTTTGAACAACACACACACACACACACACACACACACACACACACACACACTCACAAAAACACCCCTGTAGGCCAGGTAGTGCTTTTGTCCTGCCAGTTAATGACTTCTGGTCTAAAGACAGAGAATAGGTTAGAAGCTAATACATTTTTCAATTTGACTCTCACAAAAACCTGAGAATAGGTTTTATTATCTTTGTTAAATAGTTGTTAATTAATAGGTTTAATTATCTTTGTTAAATTCTACCTTCCAAGGCCATCTTAAAATATGAGAGAAATAAATTATATCAAGTTCTAAGCATGGAGATTAATAAATGTGTCCGGCTAAAGCCAGGACACACTTGCACATAAATTTATTAAACATCAAAATCCTTGTCTTTCAGAAAAAGCTTCTAGAATCTACTCAAGGACAGTTTGGAACTGGCTTTCCAGCAATGGACATGAGCAGCTAGTTTGTTCAGTCAATGACCTTTTGATGTCACAGACTCAACTACCACACATAGAGCATGATAATTACCTCACTCCATCCCAAAAGAAGCAGGAGACAGAGGTGAGAAGAGGCATGATGTCCATTTACTCCCGCACAGAGAACCTTCTTGCTCTCTATTGCCACAACCAACAAGCAGCTTCTCCCTCTCTATTGCCACAAATTCCCCTGCTAACCTCTGATGGGGAGGCAGATTTGAGCTCAGAGCTCTTGGTTTCCTTGCAGCTCAGCCCCTAAACTACTGAGTCTTTTCTTTTTTGCAAAACCTGGTACCATACTATTGGCATCTATCATGTCAGCAGCCGCCCTCACTTGATATCAATAGTTATCTTTTCTTCTTCTCAATTTACAAATGAGGCATCAAAGATTTAGATGGCATTACACCTTTGTCACATAGGAAGAGTGTCGGAGCCTCAGCTGTTTTTCTGCTTGTCTAGTTAGTGTTCTTTTTGCTGTTTCTGACCTAATGAGGTCATTTAAACTATTGGAACCTTGGTCTTTCACTCTGCTGCGATAGCTCATAGGTGACTTGGAGATCAAATGAAACAATCTGTGAAGTTTTTCTTGCAAGCTAACAGACTTCTCTCCTTATTCTCAAAGGAGTTATCATCATCTTTATCATTTTCTCTGAGGTGTTACTCTGTTCCTTGCTTTTCCTGACTTCTCTTTTTTGTCTTGATTCTCTGGTCTGGCTTTCCGGACCCTTGGTCCTGGTATAGTTGATCTTTTATCATCTCATCCCTTAGGCTTGCTTCCTATTTCTGTCTTCAGAGAGTCTCCAGAACTTGAACCATTCCCTGTCTGGTTGTACGGTGTTTTCCATTCCTTTTGACTTTGCTTTTCTCCTGTTCTACCTGACTCGCAGCACCCAATGACCACTCTGTACAAACCAGTTCCCAGTCCACCTGCTCCCCAGTCTCCCTGAGCTCAGGGCAACAACAGTATCCCCATGCTTGGACTCATTTCTAACTTCCCTCCTTTGAGTTTTCTGACCTTAGTGACTAACCTGATATATGTACTAATAAAAATTCTACACTCATAAATTCTGTACAGAGCTGAGCTAAAAGGGACCCTGGCCACCTCCCTGTGGCCTTAAAGGATGGACATAAGGAAAAGCAGGACAGACCAAAATAAGGATGGTGTGAGGATTACAACCCACCAATCAGAATGATGCAGGCACAGCCAACCAAAATACTGCTTTTCACATACCTAATTAGCATAGAGATGAGGCAATGGTCCTGGAAAAAAATGGATAAAAACCTCTAACCTCTTCCCTTCTCTGGCACCCCTGCTGGGGAGCTCCTCCTCACTCAAGTGGGGACTTTGCTCTTTCTCTTACTACACTTTCCCACCTCTATGCACACCCCTTTGCTGTCCACAAAGTTCATTCTTTGGCTTTCTGAGACAAGAAACCAGAATGCCAGCCCTTCCTCTGCCTAAACACCTAAAGCCAGGGAGACTTTTGGTCCTACATAAATCTCTCATAACAGAACTGACAAGGGATAGACGGGTTATACTTCCAGGAATATTTAGATTTTAAGAAAACAATGTCTTAGGCTTTATCCAAAGAATCAAATACGAACTGTGGGATTTTTGAAGAGGGAAGAAAGTATTTGAGGAGTACCAAACCTGAACTTATACAAATGGGGTATGTGAGGGAGCCCATCCAGACAATCCAGAGACAGAGTACTGGTGTCTGTGTCTCCTTCCTTTTCCTAGTGTTAAACTCAATAAGCAGGAGGCCACTGGCCTGATGCTGACTCCATTTTTGAGTTCCTATGTAACAATCCACAGTTTAACTTATATTCAAATGGCAGTTTCACAGGCAGTCAACAAATCAGACCATTCCCAAATAAGGCCAGGTTTAGCTCTAACCAATGAAGTTCTTTCTGTACTTTGCCTCTGCATAAGCTATAAAAAGGTCACTGCCTGGTGCAGAGTGCCCTCTGAGCCTGTTTTGGTTTTGAGTGCTGCCTACCTCATAAATAACTTTTGCTAAAATAAACTCTGTAAAGTTTAATCTGTCTAAAACTTTTCTTTTAACACTAGATACTTCAAGTTAATAATTTATGTCAAAAAATTCTCTCCTTGGAAATCCAATAGTCTTATGGTCATTTACACCTTACTGAGAATTATTGAAGACATATTTCATCCTGATACTTGTCTGATATAGACTGGTCTTTGTGAATAGAATTTTTTTTATTACTTTTTTGGGGGGCAGTGCTAGGGTTTGAACTCAGGGCCTCACGCTTGCTAGGCAGGCGCTGTACCACTTGACCCACTCCACCAGTTGAATAGAATTTTTATGTTGAGGTTCAGAATGCAGCAGAAGGGGCACTCTAGAACATGGAGCATTTCTGGAGAAAAGAAAGACCCAGTCCTTGTACAGCTGTGAGGGGATCTGAGCCATTACAGAGAAGCATGCAGGACTTGGGATGGAGTGTCAGGGGATGGAGTGTCAAGGGTTCTAAAAGCAAATGTGGCCCATATAGCTAACATTCCATTTGTTCTGATTTTGTGCAAGGAGGCATCTCAAATCACACTCTCTTATTGACCCTACTCTACTCTGAGTGAAGCCATGAGTTCCCTCATGTGGAGGTCCTGTGTCTCTCATCTCCTTTTACAATGCTTCAGTGTAAAATCATAACAATTATGTGGTGTTAGAGTCTTAGACTTTACAATTAGATACTCTTGGCTCAAATCATTGCCATGTTTCTGGAATTCTAGCCTTGTTACCTTCTGGGGTTCAGGGGAAGATGAAATGCGCTTATGTACCTGGTGCATAATAAGTGCTCAGCAAGTGTTAGCTATTGTTATTTGTAGTCTTCTTGCTATCTACACATGACCCTGCGCCCTTTCTTAATCCTTGTTCTCATCTGCAAAGCCATGATCCTAAAGCATAACTCACTGGTTCCTTGTGAGGAGTAAATGAGCAGTATAGTTCCAGCATTGAGTGCAGTAGTGGGGGTGAGTTGTTAATCCTGGCTACTGACTGCATTTCCCAGCTAAGGGAGAACATCAACAAACATCAGCAGAAGCTTCTTTCTTCAACAATGAGCAGGGTAAGTGATGGGTTGTCAGTCTGAGTAGATATTAGTATGCAAGGTTTAGGGGAATTAAAATGCTCCACCCACTCCTACATTCCTTCCAGGCCAAATTCCCAGCATGTGCGTTTCTCTTCTGGGTCAGATGCAAACAGAGTGACATACCACATTTCAGCCTCCTGTGATGTGTTCAGTGGACTAACAGGTTGGCATTTGGAAACTGAAAGCTAGAAAAAGTCTCAGTCTTGGATTGCTACTTGGCAGAATCCTACCACACCACCAAAGTCTTCTAAAATCCTTGGCAAAATGCACCATACTTCAACTGGTAAGGGGAGCCTTACCTTCAGGCTGATGTGGTTGGTTTCATTAGTCTCCAGAGGAAAGACGTTTTCAGGAGGAATGTGGGACCATTTTTTCTGACGAAGCTCATTATCCCTTTTATATTTTCTGTGGAAGGAATAGGACAGTCACGTGGCGTTTATTAGTACCCACACATCAGCTCTTGAACACTGGGGAAAATTTAGGACCCTAGTATTCTCAGGTAGACGTGAGTTGAGAGAGGGTAACCCAATGGTGTGACTCCATGTTCCCCAAACTGGTAAGTGGTGGCCTTCAGTGACCTTAACGATTTCTGATGGACTTTCCTGCTCTTTTTTTTTTTCAATTTCACTTTCCCAGGTCACGAAGATAGTCCTCATGATAATAAAGGATCTGAACTGATGCCATGGAAAGGATAGGGGAAAAAATGAAAACCGACAACTTTTGAAAGGCTAAAATGTTCATTTTTAAATGCCAGCGAAAGCACCAGATCCTAATTTAGCCAGTTCCTCTCACACATCTGTTGTTGGGCACCAGTCGCTCATAACTTTAATCCTAGCTACTTGGGAGGCTGAGATTGGGAGCATCACAGTTTCAGGCCAGCCCAGGCAAAAAGTCCATAAGGCCTTGTCCCAACAGAAAAAGCTGAGTGTGGTGGTGCGTACCTCTTGTACCAGCGACTGTGGGAAGCGTAAATGGGAGAATTGCAGCCTAGGCTGGTCCAGGCAAAAAGTGAGACCCTATCTCCAAAATAATCAGAGCAAAAAGGAATGGAGGAATGGCTCAAATGGTAGAGCAGCTGTTAAGTCAGCATGAAGCCCTGAATTCAAACCCTAATACATATATATATATTTTTCCATAAATGGAAAGTACAGGAAAAGAGTAATAACATTTACCCAACATATAAAATATTAGGGTTTTGTCATTATTTCCTTCAGATGGCACAGATGAAACATTCTTGGGTGACAGAGGAGGCACGCACTTTCAACTTCATGGATATACCAAATTGCTTCCCAAAGGGGTGGTGCCAATTGAGAATTCTTTTTTTGAGAATTCCTGTTTCCTATACTCTTGAAAACATTTGGTACTGATAAACATTTTCTTATGTTCATTAGGTGTGTAAAATGGTATTTCATTATTGCTCCACTTTGAATTTTCTTAATTTCTAGAGAGATGATCTTTTCAAATATTTCTTGGCTATTTTGTAGGATATGTAGAATCACAGAATTACATAGACTTATTTATTTATCATTTTGCTCAGTTTCCTTATTGTGTAACTTTTATCTATTCTTTATTCTTATCATCCTACATGAATTCTTTATATATTCTGAAAAACAAATCCTTCCTTCTTTTGCATTGCAAATATTTTCTAGTTCATTGCTTCTTTTAACTTTTCTGTGTGGGAAGTTTTGATTTTATTATGGCTATATTTATATTTTTTCTTCTATGGCTTTTCTTTTTTATCTTGACTGAGACATACATTCTTAACTTGGGACCATAAAGACATTTTGAGGTTTGATTTTCACATGTAGGCTGTCACCATTTAAAACTCCTTTAGGGCTGGTGGAGTGGCTCAAGTGGTAGGGTGCGTGCCTAGCAAGTGTGAGACCCTGAGTTCAAATTCTAATATTGCCAAAAGCAAAAAACAAACCAACAAAAACCTCCTTATGGAAGAGACTGCATCTTTGTGCACTATTTAGGTTTTTGCATGTGAAAAGTCAACTGTCCTGACATCATTTCCTAACTAGTTCATAATGTCACCTCTGTCATATTCCAAGTTCCCATACTTGCTTGTATCTGATTTTGGAATCAGTCTTCTTTTTCATTGACTTATTTATCTGTTCCTGAGTTTATCTTTGCTTTCTGGTCACTTAAAACTCCAACTCACTTTCTCAAGGTCATTCATAATGCCCTGCTAATGTTCCCTAAGCAGAAATGATTATTCTCCTTTGATGACGCCATGTGACTCTGATGTTCCTCTACTAACTACATATAAAATAGCCTATTATTGAGTAGTCACTATCGCCTTGAGACCTGGAGGCAAGTAGGATGGATATCAAGACATGAGAAGCTGCCAGGCTCCATACTCCAAGAGATTTTTGGGGCTCAGAGCCAAATGCCTTTCATTTTGAATTAGCAGATTGTATGCATCATTCCCTGCTTTTCTTGCACAGGCTACTGAGGTGGAAAACTACATGAGTAGCCCATCTGCCAGGTCTTCTTGGCAGCTAGGAAGCCCAACTTCTGTCTCCCATGCTTAGAGACAATGGGAAACACCTGCTACTTTTATTTTGCGATGTGCCCCTCTTAGGTTCATTCCTGTTGGAACTTGGTTTCTGGAGAGAGAGCATTCTTCTCACTCTCATCTAAATATAAACCATCTTCTGTATTTCTGAGCAACACAGTGACAGGAGCTGGGCTCTGCCTTCAGAGTGAAGAGAGCTGTCTACTTCTTTCCAGAAAACACTTCATGTGACAGGTGGGCAGTCACATTTTGAGGAAGTATAGTGGCCAAAGAGTGTGATGTATTGAGAAAAATTGATTCTGGCTTAGTTAAGCCATGCAGGTGAACTCGATAATATAATTAGGATAGAGTTTCTTTTTTAAACATACACAGATTAGGAGCTGTTGTGGTATTCAGTCACTGATTTATGTATTTAACAAGTATTTCTCAGCACACACTGTCTCCAGTTAGGTATGTGGTCTATACAAGTCAGGTAGAAAAATCGTGGAACTGATGATCAGAAGGTCTGAGTTCTAGTCTAGCCCTACACTCTACCTGATGGTATGATACTATGTTTCTCTTTCTCCATACTAAAATAGGAGATTTGGAATACATGGTTTCTTTTTTTGGGGGAGAGGGGAGGGAGGATAGGGTCTCATTATTGTAGCCCAGGCTGTCTTAGAACTCTCCATGTGTCTCAGGCTGGCCTTAAACTGGATTCTCCTTCTTTAGCCTTCTGACTGCTGGAATTATAGGCATGCACCAGCACATCTGGCAAAATAGATGTTTACTAAAGGCTCTTTCAGCCTAAATATCATGTAGTAAATGATTTTGAAATCTCTCACAATATACCAATAAAACTTCAAAATAGCTATTTTCATTTCCATAGTGCTCATCATATGACAGTCTCTGCATATGCCCCATTTCAAATCCTCACAATACCTCAGAGGAAGAAACTGAAGCTACGTGACTGTTGAAGTTGCCCAGTAACATGTTAAGGCCTCTCAACTGGTAGATCACAGAACTCGGATTTGCATTCAGATGTCTCTGACTCTTCTGATCTATTTACTCATTAATGTTCTGCCCTTGACATAGTCTTGGATCATAGTCATGATCCTAGGTGACCTCTTTAAGACAGGCATGATGAACAGATGTCAGACCTTGCCCTCTCCCTCTCCCACTCCCACTCCTTCTTTGGGAGAAGAAAACGTGGGAAGAGGGGATGGGGTGGGGTGGGGTGGGGCAGTTCACCTTAGCACAAGCAGGGCGATGATCAGCAGCAGGATCACAGTCCCTGTGAGGGTGAAGACGGCGATCAACAGGACTTGAGGACCTGCAGCAGGAAAGACAGTACACAAGGAGTTAGCAGGGCCTCTGAGAAGAGAACAAATGCACCTCAAAGGTTCTAGTTGCATAATACAATTTGGGGATGGGTAAAGGGAAGACACTTCAGGAAAAATATTCATCTTTTCTTTATCTCTGCATGGTATTGCATGTCCTGTGTCTCTAATCTCTGAAGAAAGCTGTCTGGCATATGCCTGGGGAAAGTGGTTTAATTTCAGCTTTCCTTATAACTTATGTATCTCTTTTATTTCCAACAGGAATCACCAAATGTCACAAGACATACAGTACTTCCCAGGACACAATTGTAGATAATAAGACCTATCTGTTGTCCTCGAAACCAGTGCACCTAAGGAGGTTTGAGGGGGGAGAGACAACTACCTTAAAGTTTAGAACATACATTGGAAGAAAGAAAAGGAAGTGTAGATATTAAATGGCCCTGCTGCATGCTCATTCTTCCCAGGCTCTCAAGGTTATTGAGGACCGTCAATGAAGAACCTAATTTTATTTGTTGGAACAATAGTGAGTGGAGTAGAGAAAGGTGAGACTCTTGGAAGAGTATGTGGAATCTGGCAAAATGTGGGTCCAATCCCAGAAGGCAATGAAGCAGAGTCAGAGAATGCAAAGGCGTAGGGACCAGACTGAGAAGGCCAACAACAGTAACGAAATGGTACAGGACTGCTATGACTCATGTGCCACAGCGGATTCCTGCTGTATGAAAGTGACTTCAAAATGAATGTATTCCAAGCATAGACAGAATGTGTAAGAAGCTGAAAAAAATAGAAATATGGAAAAGAAGTCATGTTTCTTCTTACAGGGACGGAGGGAGAGAGAAAGAGAGAGTGAGTTTGGGGGAAGCATGTTTTAAGAAAGACAGTCCAAAATGAAACAAAGTAAAATGTAGAACTGGTCACTTAACAAAGAGGAGATGATCTCTTTAAAAAAGGAAGGCGTCCCTGAAGAGGGCATGTCAAGATCTCTTTGTTAAAGCAGCACCCACCCTGCACCCCCACTATGTCCTCTATCGTAGCACCATGACAGACTCCTCAAAGGCACGGTCCATGGTCTACTTGGTTGTACCTGCCCCCCAGCACAAGATCCAGTACATGGTAAAGAACAGTTAAGAATGGTGGAATTAAAAAAATTGAATAAAAGTTTGGCCCTGCTCATCTTACTAAAAAGAGGCAAGGGAAAGGGGAGCAAACATTAAAATACATAAATTCATATAAACAACTCTTGTGCCATTAGACTTGTGTCACTTGTACTTTTCATCTATCTTTATTTCATCACACTATGTCCTTTTAATAAACTAACCATTTTTTCCTGAAGAAGAGGTTTGGCTCAGGTAAATATTGCAACACTGTTCCATAAGTGGTGGTTTGTTCTTTGCAAATATATGGCTTTGCCTCTGATTACTTATTATCTAGCCTCAGGCTAAGAGGAAAATATCAATAATGAAAATGTGAGCTGTGGATGTTTCCTTTCAGCTAGGCAGAAACAAACTCATACCTTGGAATTGAAGCTGTATTATGGGCACATTTGTCTTTGGTGAATTCTGTTTGTCACCATAACCAACACTACTACTACTGTTGCCATCTCTACAGCTTTCACACCCCAACCCCAGACAAATAACCACAGTGAGTAAGGAGAAGTACAATTTTAACTCACCACCCTACTAGAAATTCACAGCAGCTAGACAGTGCATAAGTTGGAGGGCACGTGAGGACAACTCAGCCCATTGCCATCCCTGCCTGTCTCCCACATATACACCATCACACTGCACTGTCATGTTTAAATATACCATATGCTATTTAAATACAGTGGTTTTAAATTCAACATACTAAGTCAATGTCATGTTAGTTCTAAGGTTAAGCTTCTGCTGCCGTCTGGTGGCTGCTATGGTTATTACATTCTATTTAACACTACAGTGACATTATGACCAGGTCACATGACATTATAGTTGGAAGGACTTTGTTAAATTTCTTAATTTAACACAGGAAGAAACTCCCATTTGAAAAGAGAAATAAATTGACTGAATTGATACACAGTAGATTAGTTAGTGCTGGAGCCTACAGTAGAAATATATTCATAGTTAACTCTTGTGGTCATTTATTCAGTTATTCCAAGGCGCTGTGCTACAGCAAAGGGATATGAAGAAACAATGGACCTTACACGTATAAAGGATACGGTATGAAAATAAGTATGAGGTAAGTACTATGCTAGAAGTTGGATAGGGTAAAAGCAAGACTAACAACCTGAGGTGCTAAGAAAAAGCTTAGGGAAGGGAAGGTTCACGTTAAATCTTGAAGCTGAGTGGAAGTTTATCAGTTATGTGAAGGAATGATAAATTCTAGTGAAAGGTGCACAAACCTTTCTTTAAAGTAGGAGGAAGCTGAGAGAGTGGGGAAGGGATTTTCTACAAGATAAAAGAATAGAAGGCAAAAATAGAAACAAATTTAAAAAATCTGCTGTAAATTTGGAGTCAGCTCTGAATTGCTTATTGCTTTAAAGAATGTGACCCCTACCATCACCTCCCTTTTTGCTTTAATCAATTGCTAATGACTTTCAGATCAAAACACAGGAATCATTTTTGGATCCAGTTTGATTCAAGGTCAAACAATTATAACTTTGACACAAGCAAGCCCATTGGACTAGAACAATTCCTTTTAAGGCAGATCAAGCTTTCAGTTTCTAGCTGTAGAGCAGGGCTGGAATTGAAATATTTGTAGCTTATAATTTTTAATACTTCTAAAAGTAATAAATACAGTCATTGTGGAAAAATTTTGAAAATTCAGAAAAGTACAAAAGTGAAAAATTTTTTCCAAGATTTTATTGCTCAGTAGTTACCACTGTTAAATGTTTCTTTCCCATCTTATTTCTATGTATTGTTTTACAAAGAATTTCATTAAATAAAAAGTTGTATTTTCAATTATTTGACATCATAAGGCTCCTATCGCTTAAAATTCTTTGTTAATAATTATTTTTAGCTAGCTGCATGGTTTTCTATTTATGAATATATCATAATTTTCTAAAAATTTATTAATGGTATTGTCACTTTTTTTTTTTGCATCTTTGGGTATAAATACTTGTCCAAATTTAAGATTTTTTTCTCAAAGTAGATTCATAATATGGAATGACTGATCATTATGCTGAGTCCCAGCCAGACTAGTCCCGGGCAGAATGTCCTGAGACCCTCTGGCCCAGGAGGCACCTAACCAGCCTGACCTTCTGATAGTCAATGTTGCATTGTGTCCTGCACAGGTAAAGATCTACCACATTAGGGCTTTCCATAGCCTGATAGAATTTCATCTTGTGTGGCAGTAATCATCACTGTAATTCCAATGTGTGTCCTCTGAAAAAATGGGGGAAATTTTAGAGGCCATGACCACTGAGCACCCTCAGCCCAATGCACCAAATATTATTTAGTGAAATATGTGTTTTTGGAGCCTACAGCAGTAAAATGTAAGTGGAGTAAAAGTGCATGTTTCTGAGCTCATTTCTGCTGTAGAATTAAGGTTCTGTCAAACCTAGTTTTCTATGGGATAGAAGGGTAAGACAAGATAGGTTTAGCTAAACTGGAATAAGGATATTTTCAGTGTTTAATCAGAACCATAATATAAATCATTGTGCAGGAAAGTAAAATACACATTTGCAAACCTAGAAAACTAGTTGGGACAACAAATAAAATAATAAATGCAAGCTAATTTTATAAACTATGTATCTAGCCAGAAAAACAATTTCAGTGAAAAAATTCACTAAGAACATCTTACCCAGGCCTGGAATATCATTAGGAAGTTTATGGTTCTTCCAGATGAATGTGGGGCTCATATCCACAGGGGTAGTACTATTTGTGTGGGTGTCATAAGTCAAAAGAATCTCATACTGTGTTGGGGCACAAAAAAAAAAAAAGATGAACAGCAAAAGACATTTTAGAATAACTTCTGATGAGATTGACTGCCCTGCTCAATGATACCTGAATTTAACAATAACACTTTCCTGTGGAACAAGGTGATGTTAATCACCTTGGAACTAGTTAGGTTTGTGGCATTAACATGAATTTGAATTACAAGGGGGCCAATCGGTTTTATATTTCTTTATAACCATGTACTATACCAGTAGACCCTGACCAACATAGACTCTTTGGGTCTTTAGAGAACTAGTTCAAGTCTGTTATTTCACCAATGTTAAAACGGAAGATAAGAAAAATTAAATGGCTAATTCCAAGTCACATGAAGCATTGAAATTTTCTACATTAAATTGCTCTTGAAGACCATCTCTTGAGAAAATGCTCCACTTGTAAAAGCATTATATCATTTTGATAAATATCAAAGGTCCTGAAATTATTCTACATTTTTCAAGTTTTATATAAATTTCACAGTTGTCCATTCTGTCCCTTTATTCCTTGTACATGACACTAATTAGGTTTCTATGATAAAAGATTTCTTTCTCAAGTAATCTGTTAATGGAAATAGTAATATGGTATATTCTTAAATTACTGTTGCAAATATTGAGACCATTTTGTAAGAGACATCTGAAGCGTGGCCATACTTCTAAATTCACTACTATTCCTTCAAAATATTCTGGCAAAGGTTATACCTTTTTAAAACTTTACAACTTGAGAGCAGAATCTGTAATTGCATTTATTAAAGATGGAAAATATCCTCACTATGTTAGGACATGGCATGCTGAACCGCTACTGAGACCTTCTCTAGATATGCACCATCATCCCTACAGCTGGATGTAGTGAGAATGAATCCCTGGTTTTCCCAACATACATATCATATTCCATAACTGATGATATCAAGTTATTGAAAAATTCCACCAAATCTGTTTTTAGAGAGAATGAGTGCAAAGAATATTTTTCACTTTGAAAGGCAGCCATGAGGCTGAGCTAGGATCCCATCCATGTACCTGCGTGTTCTTTGGGAGGTGAAGACATTGTCCCAGGTGCAAATAACGTGGAGACGAATGTGTTTTTGTAGGATGCTGTTACTAACGGAAGCATTGAGGGATGCTGTTCTCATAGAAATTATAGCATATATCGCAGTTCATTCACGGTCAGGAGAGTAGTAGAAACTACGGATTACTTTTCTGAAATGCTGCCCCTAGGTTTCTGGTGTAGCTTTCTCATTCTGGACATCTTTTATCTAGGTTTTTTGCATTTGCATTGCAGATATCTTTTACAGAGCTGAGTCAATATGTGCACTCAGCATATGGCCTAAGTGTGTTCACACTGGTAAATGAAAAAAAGAATAGCTTCATCTCTTAGATTCCTAGTTATGTCAGGATCCGACTTCTTAAAGGATAAGGCTTTTTACTGACCACTTGGTTAGCTGGAACTGTGGCTTTCATAGTTTTGATGGACACAACATTGGATGATATAGAGACATGGGCTTTTTTTTTTAATTAAGTGCCAACCAGCTATCAACTATGTGCTAGATAAGACACTAAGCACTGGAGAGATGAGCGATGAGTACAACCCATTCCCTTTCTCTAAAGGACCTAGCATATGATTGAGGAAAAAAGAGCTATGCAATGTAAATAAAAGCGTAACATCCTAAGCCGTGTGTGCCTGTGCAACCGCCCAGTTCATGATTTTCATGAGCGAACAGAAAATGTTTCATTGAAATCATTAGCTGTGGAAACAAATAAGTCTTAGGAAAGTCTTCCTATCTTCTTGTTGATATTCCATCCATAACCTGGTCCATATATGAACTTATTTTGGATGGTTTTTAAATATATAAGTATATGAATGTGTGCATGTATAATAAAGGGAATATTCTGAGTAAGAACTACTATAAGACAACACAAGTAAGGAATACTTACTTGGTGTATAATTGTAAAAAAAAATAGCTGAAATGATCTATCTTTAGATTCTAAACATAATCTCTTTAATTCCTTCATTATTACCCCTCTTCCAAGTTCTCCTCCCTCAGCCAGTCACATCACCCAGCATTTCCTGACAAGCAGTCAAACGTACTTTCTTGGTATCCACAGACGTATACAGAAGCACCATAGTATTGTCAATATCCCCACAGTCGTCCAAAGTCACAGGACCCATATAGCCTAGGGCAAAACCAGAGAGCATTAGAGGCTATTGGTGACTTCTTGCCTGAATACAGTTGATCCTGATAGATGGTATAAAATGGGTTCAAATTGCTTTGTTTCAAATTTACTGAAAAATTATTCACTTTAATGTTCTTATCAAGAGGGCATTTTAATTGGTTTTTGACCTTGAGATTTTATGGGAAGTATTATTTATTCAGAAGGAAAAATCCTTTTACATTATATTTAGGATGGCACTAAATGTAATAAGTTAATAAATTTCTCCATTGTTAGTGATACATTTTTATTAAGAATATTTACTAAACTAGTTACAGTGTATAGACCACTACTGTAAAAAAACCAAAATCTCTTCACTATCATTTGCTGGATGAAGACATTGAACAGGTTACTTAAGTTCTCTGGGTTTTAATTTTCTGTCTGTGAAATAACAGCAGTACCGGATGAACCTTTGAAATAGCTGTTTAGGTCACAAATGACAAAATCAGCAATTTCACATGATTTAACATAGTAACTAACATTTATTTCATATTTACTATATACCAGATGCTCTGCTAAGTGGTTCATACACATTTATCATTTAATTCTTGCTAGAATATCACAATATAGAAGCTATGAGTTCTATTTTATTGACAAAAATGGTTTTATTTATGAAGTACAGGAGCATTAAGTAACTTATCCAGCGTTGTCGAGCTGGAGGCAGCTAACCTAGGACACAAATAAATGTCTCCTGGCTCTGAGCATATGTTGTGACAGTTAGGATGCTTGACCATGATCATGGATGTGGGAAAAGTAATACACATGAAGTGCCTGGCAGAACGTAGGACACATGGGATGATCAGTGAATGGCTGTCTGTCTTTCCTTGCTTCCTTAGGGGAAGCTTCCTGCCACTTTTATAAACCACTGCCACTGATGCAGCCCTCCGATCTGATGTTAATCACTTTTGTCGTCTGAAGCAAGTAAGTGACTTACTCTGTAGCCAGACAAAGGTTTCCCAGAGAAAGACTTTAAGGCAATTATTTAAAAGAAAATTTCTTCCTAATCTCTGGATGAGATCTGGAAATGAGAAATGGGTACTTTAATAGGGTTTTCTGGGAAAAGAAAATGTGACCCAGCAGTTTTGAGAGGGGGATGCTGTTTTGGATTGCATTATTACAAGGAGTTTTGGTAATCAGAGGTTTAACAGATTCTAGAACTTTGAAGGATGAAAAAGGGAGGTGTAAAGAGACCAAAATCAGACTACAATATTGTTCTCCTTTTAGACTTCAAGCACAAGCCAATATACCACTGCTGAAAATGCACCATGAAGAGCTTGTTCAAAAGTACAGGGTTCATTCTATGACACCCAAAGATTCTGAAAGTCCATAGCAGGTATCCATAATCAATAGCATCCCCAAGGATTATGCAGTGATGTTTGCCCTCACTGAGTTCCAAGGTCTTTAGCTATTGAACCATCAATTGCCAACCCCCCCTCTTTTTTTCCCCAAAGCCCATTCACAATGTCTTCATTTCATTGGCTTTGTTGTTGTTTAGTCTTAGAAGACTAGTACCTTGAAAAGTGAGATTCCTGAAAGCATGAGCAAATTTGGGAGTGGTAACTGTTTCTCTATTTTCAAGAAATATCTTCAGCATGTGTCCAAACAGTAAAGTTCCATCCAAGTAAGCAAGAGCAAAGTCATTTTTTCCCTGAATGAGAAAAGAAGATCTTAAAATGGGTCCCAAAAGAAGTTTCTGGTCTTGAGACTGTAACAAAATTTTCTTGGGATCAGCAGGTAATTAGAAAGGTAAAAAGGATATTAGGAGGATTAAAAGGATAGTATTAAAGGAAATTTCTAGAAAGTCCTTCCTTGGGCTCTTTGCTATTCCATGTTATAGTTCTACTTTCTCCTGGGATCAATAAAGCAAGAACACAGCCTTTAGGGAAATACCCACAAGCATTTATACTTCCTTCCCATGGTGATAAAATACATAAATGCATAAATGTTAACATGAAGCATTTTCATGCTTCTTATAAGATTTTATGTTGAAATGATATTTGCTTGTAGTTTAATGTTCTCATTAAAGTGCAAAAGAGAAAAACCAAAAATCAAAATGCAACTCTGGCTTTTCAGTAATCCTGAATGTGACATGAACAGTCTTAGTTGGATGATACCATTGAACTTGTTTTGAAGACAATTCTGATTGGGTCTTACTTCAGGCCCTGAACGTCCACCCCAAGGAAAACAGTGGCGAGGGTCACAACACCTCTGCCTCTGCAGCTGTTTCATGATGGTCTTTACAGTACTGGGCTGTGAATTAAAAACGCTTACCCCACTGAAACCAAGTTAATTCTGTTACCTTAGGCATTTTCCAAGAAGCAGTGCAAATTCTATGCACCTAGAATTATATTTTACAGAAAATATAGAAAGGAAAAACAAAACCCTTTTTATTAGTTTCAGTTTCTTTTGCTGAAGTCATGATATCATTGGATGAAAATAATTCAGTTAAGATCTTACCCCAGAAGAGATCACATTTCCTAGTTTTAGCAGGTGCATAAATTGGAGGGCTTAGAATAGCTAGTTTAGGAAAAACTCTACCTTTCCTCAAGGTATTTAGTTTGGTGGGATGACTTTCCTTGATTTGACATCCCAAGGTTGCTAAGGGGTCCCAAGATTGTCTTCCTCCTTTTCCCACTACAAGCCTTTCTCAACTGTGTGAGAAGAGAAGACACCTCACAAATCAAATCACATAAAGGTTCTGTGACTGAAAAAGCCAAATTCTGTTAGAGTTGGGGTCCTGCATTCTAATGAGATCATAATTTACTGTGTAAACGGAGGCCCTGTTTTTTCTGGGACAAATGTTAAGCCAGATGGGATCCTGGGATAACAAGAATGAACCAGGACTTTCCCAGGCACATTTGGACAGTGGTCAACAATCGTGATGGTCAATGTCTTCATCTAGGAATATGTATCTCTAAAAATAGAAATTTGGTGCCAGTGACAGGAGAAAATTGCTATAGGATGTAGGGAATTTTCCAGTAACCTTTCCTTTACATCTTTTAATTTCTACTGTTTCTAAGTGAGATTGACTGTCAATAGCAGGGCTTCTTCCCATCATCCCATATGGTCACTTTTATTCTAATTCTGCAGAAGCATTTACTGCTGTGCTGGTCCGGTGTCTCACATAGAGATTTGTAGTAAGAGGTTTGACAGTGATTCCGTGGATGCAAAATGCTGCACATGTGTATTCAGTTAACATTTATTGAGTGAATTTGAACAATTAAAAATAGTTGCAAATGTAAGAATATGGATCCCAAGTAAGAGAGCAATTATCTTACACTAATTCTACCTTTGAGTGCATGAGAGAGAGAGAGAGAGAGAGAGAGAGCTTACTGACAAAATCCTCTTGGCGAAAGAGGCATTTATGGCAGCATGTCCGGGATGCAAGGTCAGAACAAGGACATTTTTCATATAATCAGGGGCGATGGCATTGTTCTCAAAGTAGTAGTCACTGTAATAAAAAGCACAGGTTCCTCATAAAAATTAAGTTCCTCCCAAAATAGAGATGTTTCTTCTACGATTCACACAAACAGTAACTAATATCAACCTTGAAAATAGTTTAAAATTTTTTTCAATAATCTGAAAAACTTTCTATTTTCCCCAGCTATTGTTTTCTTCTACAGTTGCTCAAATAAATAAGAGAATTTAGGCAATCCTGATTAACATAGGAAAATGGAAAGGAAAACCAGAATACGGATACTTCTTTGGGGGAAATATTTGAGCTAATGTTAAAACTTAGGGCTTAATAATCCTTGATTTATACTAAGAAACTTTCTTTTTTTTCTTCATTAGATAGAGTCTCACTGTGTCACCCAGCTGGCCTCAAACTCACTATACTCCTGCCTCTGCCTCACAAGTGCTTATAACAGGAAGCTTTCCTTCCCTTAAGTGCTCTGAACAATTTAGAGATATTAAGATATGGTAGACAGAAAATTTATCATTAAATTTATTTTTCACAATTCATGGCTAAACTTTTCAGATAGTGAAACACGCTGTAAAAAGGGTACACATGTTTTCTGACACTGTAAGCTTGTAGACATTCAATACTGAGATTGCTCTCAAAATTCCTCTGTAGCTGAGATGACAACCACATACCACCATGCCAGCATTTTTCTGTTGAGATGGGGGTGTCACAAACTTTTTTGCCAGGGCTGGCCTAGAACTATGATCCTCCCTATTTCAACCTCTCTCATAGTTCTGACAGGCATGCACTACTGTGCCCAGTTATTGGATAAGATGGGGTCTCACAAACTATTTGCCCAGGATGGCCTCAAACTGTGATCTTCCTAATCTCAGTCTCCCAAATAGCTCAGATTACAAGCATGAGTCACCAGTACCCAGCTCATCAGATGTTTTAATATGTAAAACATCTAAGATGATGGAACTGCTATAATTGGGTGGCCATCAATTAATGTTTAAACATGTCTGCTATGTGCTAAGACTGTCAGCTCTTTTTTGCTCATGTTATCAACCTAATCCTAAAAGCACACCTATAAAGTGGATATTTTAATTCTCATTTTACAAGTAAGATTAACCTCAAAATGCTAAAAAGTACTTAAGGGTCAATGGAACCACAGCGTCAGAAATAGAATCAGGCTCGAATCTCATGTTGCTTCTGAAACACAATCAGGTGTCTTTGGGCAGTCATAAAGGAAAGCCAGTCCTTTGACAGCTGACTGGGGGATTGCTGAAAGGAACATTGTACCAACTTGGCCACTGAGGCCTTTTCATAAGAGCATTGTGACCACTGAAATTAACATGGTGGTGGAAGACAAGTGTTGATAATATAGACTCTTTCCTGCATTTCTGCAGCTGAAAAGGCTAAATTGATAGATTATCTTTATCTTCATGAATGTCTAAGCTGTCAAACAGGCCTTCCTAATGCTTCATTTCTTCTTCTGCTGTAAAAAGTACATTTAGTGTGGCGCAATGACTAGCAAATGTGCTGCACTTCCAGAGCAGTAATCACCTCTGGTCTGAATGCAGATAGGTAATGATTAATGATCGAGTCAGATAAGTGAAGTCACACGACCCAGCTAATGGGACAAGGGGCACAGGCACACAGTGGTACCTCCTTTAAGCTTAGTCTAACTCAAATTTTACATTGGTATGGTTTTCTAGGGGTCTCCAACCATATTAGCAGGTAAGCAGTTAAAGAAATAGGATGTGAGCTGGGCTTAGTAATTCATGCCTGTAATCCCAGCTACTCAGGAGGTAGAGGCAGGAGGATCAACAGTTCAAGGCCAGACCAGGAAACGTGAGTATGGCCCTATTTCAAAAAATTAATAAATAAAAATAAATAAGTAAATAATTTTTCTAAAAAAAGACTGGCTCTTGAAGACCTGGGTTCAGAAAAGATAAAATAATAAAATAAAAGAGGATGTTATAAAAAGTGATTTCTATTCTCCAGAATTTTTTTCTCCTTAGTTCCATAAACTCACCACTGAGTGACTATGCCATGACAGGCAAAGAATAATTTGATAAATCAGCCCCAATTACTGAAGTTTTGCAGAAGTTCGCTGGGAAATGTAACCTAGGACTAAAGGCCATTAGCAAAGGAAGTGAAAAAAAAATAAGACCTGCATTCCAAGGAGTAATATTACTGAGTAACTGTTGATTTATCATTTCCTGGACAAAGGCCTTAACACCAAGATTGTTTAAATAAAAATGAGAATGTGACCAGGCATGTGGTACCTACCTATAATCTCTACTACTCAGTAGGTGAAGACAGGTGGATGGAGAGTTTGAGGCCAGTCTGGGGAAAGTTAGAGAGACCCTATCTCAAAAACAAAATAAAGACACAAGGGCTGGGAGTGTGGCTTAAATGGTAGCGTGCTTGCTTAGTTAGCCCTGGGCTCAATCCCCAGCACCACTAAATAAATAAATAAACAAACCAACAAGTAAATAAATAGATAATGTTAAAATGAGAGTGTGATGAAGAAGAAAAGAAGCTGCACAAAGCAAATGAAAAGGCATGTGTCTTCTGCAACCTTACTCCAATAGATGCCCCAGGATTTATTAGTATCCATGCATGTACACAGAAGGGCCATAGCACTGTCAATATCCCCACAGTTGTCCTGCATAGCCTAGGGAGATACCTACTTGAATAGATCCACCAGGATAATGACAGTGTTATCAGCCACTGCCTGGTCACCTGTCAGGGCTTTGATGGTGGCTGGTGTACCACACGTAACGATCACTGGAGGGGAGATAGCAAGCAAGGCAAGAAACATATGACAGTCTGCACATAAATAGGGAGGGATCCATTTCCCTAAATTTGAACCCAGTATGCCCATGTTACTTTTTTAATACCAATCCCCCAAATCTCTCCACCCTGTTTTTTATTTACAGATATAAAGTCAGAACTGCAAAGATCGCCTAATCCATTTCCTTAGCCTTTATAACTTCACACTCTACCACTCGAGCCCCACCCCAGACCCCATGTCCTTAACCTTATAAAGAGGCTTCAGTCAATGACAAAGGGGTCGAGAACTAGCAGATGACAGAGACAGATCTTCAGTAGGACTCGAGGTGTTTTTTTGTTTTAGTTTTTTAATTAGCATATATTGATTATAAAAAATAGCCAGGTGCTGGTGGTTCACACCTGTAATCCTAGCAACTCAGGAGGCAGACATCAGGAGGATCGAGGTTCGAAGCCAGCCCGGGCAAATAATTCTGCAAGACCCTATCTTGAAAATACTTAACATTTAAAAAAAAAGAGGGCTGATGGGGTGACTCAAGTAGGCCCTAAGTTCAAGCCCACTACCAGAAAAAAAAAAAGGGCTTCATTATGACATTCTCATACATGTATACAATGTTCTTTGATCATATTTGCCCCCCCATTACCCTTTCTTGTTTTCCCCCTTGTCTTCCCAAATAGCCTCCCTTCTACTTTCATGTTTTTTAAAAAATCTAGATTCTGTATATGAAGGAAAACGTGATTATTTATCTATCTGATTCTGGCTTATTTTACTTATGACTCAAGTTTATAAGTCATGGTTCAGTGCTTATTCCATTATACTGGGTTGGAGTGGTTGCAAAAGCTATTTTAATAGATGAGTGAAGTGTACCTCACCATTTGTAAAAGTGTTAAAAAATATATGCAGTAGTAAAAGTGAATGTGAGAATTTCTAAAGTCTTCCTAAGTAAGTGTAAGCAATCCTTGCCTTTTGTCTGTAGCTTCTATCTATCTATCTATCTATCTATCTATCTATCTATCTATCTATCTGTTTACCTATCTATCTATCTATCTATCTATCTATCTATCTATCTATCTATCATGGTGTGGATTGAATCCAGGGCCTCACATATGCTAGGCAATCTCTCTGCCACTGAGCTATATCCCTAGCTGTCTATTGCATCTTAACTCAGATCTCAGTCTAAGAAATTTGAATGACAGATCCAATCTGTTGCCAGTTATTTCCTGATGCATAAAAAAAGAGTCCAGGGACACCTTTATATCTGTCAATTCACTTCGCTGTCCAGTTGAATTTACAGGCCTGTACTACTTTCTTTCCAGATCTTGGTTAATGTTTTTCAACTGGTAGGTTCTTACTATAATAATACTTGATCAGGATATTAAACAGATATTTGAATGATATAAGGCAATCCACCAAGCAAGCCTCTTCCCTTGTAGAAAATTCCCACAGTTGATTCCTTTGCTCCTAATGTGTTCTTGTTTGTAAAGAGAATTCTCTGAAAAGTATAATACTTAATAATTTAGTGAGGATGTTTTTATTCCATTTACTTTTCACACTTGGCCTCTAGCTCATTGGACAGATGAGATACAGAAAGATTAAGAAGGTGAGATCTTTGTTTGCCTTATAATTTTGTCTGAGGTCATATACCAATAATTTTACCCTCTTGATCACCATGGGTATCATGGTTCAGAATGTATGAGGATTAGTCACAAATCTAATAACATGGGATTGATATGAATTTAGAAAGCATCTTACTGTTGGTGGGTCATAATATTTCAGTTTATAAAAGCTGGATGTTAGCATTATCATTTACTTTCATTATCTTAGTATGTACACTTAATATTTGTTTATAGGCTGAGTTTTGTGAACAAAAGGAACAATACAACGAAGTTTCATGCAAATCAGATCTCTCAAATACACAACATATATACAGGTAATGATTGTGGCTCTGCAGAAGTACATTTGTTAAAAGGATGCCAAAGGAGGTGGTGACCACGAGGAAGAAGCTGGCAAAAATATTACCTTCCTCTTTTCTTACCGTTGCTTTTTCTGTGATGGTTTGCTAAGAAATCCTGGAACTGGTCTTCTTTTCTGAGGGTGTCCTTGAAGTTGAGTACCTGAGAAAAATAGGAGACTCCAGCCTCCAGAGCATTGAGGTACCTGGAACAGCAAAAAGAGAAATTGAGACCAGATTTGGTCTCATGGCTTTTTCTTATCATTTGCAGATCTGTCTTAGGATATCATCTAAAATTTATTTCCACTAGTGGATATCTAATTTAGTGAAAGTATGGGGAAGGGGCTCTGTATGCAAATATACAAATAATAGATATTTGATAAGCCATTTCTGCTGGCTTGGAGAAAGGAGGTTCTACTCTGCTCTGTAAACCAGAAACCTCTGAATTTAGAGTACAAAAATTTAGAGTAGATAGGAATAATTTCTGTTCCTGTATTGAAATAGGCTTTTGTGTATTCTGAGTTCACCCTAATGTTTCTAGGGTGAGGTCTTAGGGATGATTCCCATAGCTACCAAGATGTGCATCCTCAGTTGGACTCATCTTAGTGTTCTGCCTACCTATGTGGAGAGAGACAGCAGAACTAAGCAGCATCCTGGAAGCATAAAGAGTAACCCAACCAAAAGACTCCCTCTGCATTTTTGCTAGAGCTGTTTAACAATATGTATTTCCCCCCTCAGGTAAGGGGGTAGGGTTTGAACTCAGGGTCTCTTACTTGCTAGGCGGGCATGCTACCACTTAAACCAGCTCACGTGTGAAATTTTTTTAACAGTTGCACTCATTATTCTTACTCTTCCCTGTCTCTTATTCCTCTGAAAAAGGGTGGGAGAAATTATTTCTAACTAGTTACAGGTATCTTACATAGAAGTATGAAAGCATTAACTTATGGTTTCTATTTTTTATGCATAAAATGAGGATCTTAGTATCCACTTTCTTTAGAGGATTTACTATGAAGAATCAGTAAGACAAATGTGGATGCACTTTCAAAGCCAGTAAGAGTACTGCCAATGCAATCTATGCTGATTATTCTTACAATACTTTATTCACTTTGACCGCTTTGTTTTTATTTGTGTGTAGGAGAGTGGGCTGGTGTCCATCCCAACGTTGTATGGAAGCTGTATCTGATAATAACCAGGTGTGTTGCCACGAGTCTATGGCATCTCTTTATGGCAAGTACCAGAATATTAATGGCCCTACTTACCAGAAACAGTCTTCGGTCTCGGTACCATCTTTGTACACATATGAAGAGTTCCAGGAAAAAGTTTTGAATGGCAGATCATTGGCCCTCCAAAAGTCAACCAAAAAGTACATCAACTTCCTAGCTGGAGACATCAGCCTGGTTAAAGTTTCTTTATAGTCACAAGACAATCCAAAACTTCCAGCGGAAATCATGGGATAGTTCAATTCTGTGTCAAGGCTATGCCAAAGGTGAGAAGGGAACCAATACCAGGGTTAACTTAGATAGCACAAGTAAGATCCCATTCCCCCTGTTTAGCATGTGTTATAAATGGTATGGGGCCAATAAAGCAGTTTCTTTATTTATATAGGAGTCCCCCTCCACAGGATGAAGTTTATTGACCATATGCTAGGTTCAGAGTATGCTCTAGAAAATTTCATGAACACATGACTTGGTTACTTAACTTATTCCATAGTGAGTTGTCATGCTTTCTGGGTTGGGTCATGTGACTTTGGGGAGTAGGGTGGAGAAATACAGGCTGGGCCACCATGGCCATCATAATTGTTGTAAAGTGGGAAAGATGCTCTCTTCTTCATGAAGAGAAGACTCTTCATGTCTTCTTTCTCGTTCTGCTGTAGACATTGGCTGAGGATTTGAGAACCTTTTCCTCAAAGCTCAGCCCAGGGATCTTCTTGTAGTTCTTTAAGCATATCAAGCCTCCTACTCAGTCAGGGGCTCAACCAGGAGAGATTCTGGGATTAATGTCCTTCTTTGCCTTCCTGACTTTTACTCATTCCAAAGGTCCTAGATTGACTTTCTCCTTATCAGGGAAATTTTCCCTGACACCTAAGGCCACGTAATTATTTGGGTGAGTATCTATGGAACCTGTTTCCTCTAGTAGACTGTAAGTTTCCTGAAGGCAGGGACCATGTCTGGCTTGTTCACCTCAGTCTGCCCACTCACACATAGGATCTTGACATGTATTTAATGAAGGAAGGAAAACAACATTCCTTTCCATCTCCCATGCTCCACTGAAAGGGTTCCTGGGTGCTCTCCTACACCTCAAATTCACTATGGTCATGTCAGATTTGTTCCTCAGAAGTGCTCCTTATCTAGATTTTTTTCCATTTCTTTTAATGTTTTGAGATAAAGTCTTTTCTGACTAGTTTCCATCTATCACCTAAACATTCAGTTATCAAACTCTACTGATTTCTACCTGTTGGAAGCTGTCCTCGCTTTCCTTGCCTGCTGGCTCTTTGTTGTCGTTTGCTAATTCAGGCCCTCCTCCTTGCCCTGTGGACTTTTCTGTCTTTAGTGTCTGCCATGTCTTACTTACGTGCTGCTGCAATTACTCTTTCCAAAGTTAAGCTTCTTTTCGTGGTCTCCACACTCAAAACAGAAATGCAAATCTCACTAAATACAATTTCCTTCAGCTAGTCTTCCCTCACACAGACTTTCAAATTTGGTTCTGCCTAATTTTTTTAATCTTTATTAGTCTTCTATAAATTTCCTGAACTCCAGTTAATATAGATGTTCATAGATTTTCTTTACTACCCGAATGCTTTGCTTTTTCATATACTTCGTCTCTGCCTGCCTGGGAAGCTTATCCCTACATCTCTGCCCATTGAAATTTTATCCAGTCTTCATCTCCAAATTCAGATAGCATTTCTTTCTTGAAGTCTTTCCCCTCTTGAAGCTTAAACCCCTCGTCCAGGGGTGGCTTCTGCTTTCTGTGCATCTGTTGTCTTTTTATTTGCTCTTCTTGGATAGCATCTATGTCCTTCTGCCATGTACTGGTCACCAGTGTCCTTGTTGCCTTATCTGTTTGGCTGACGAATTTTTGCTACACTTACAAAAGCAAAATTCTTCTTTGCACACACAGGGCAATTATTGAGGTGGCAAAATATGAGGTCCCAATGTCCCTCATTATGTTGCCTTGACTACAGGTGTTGTTCGTTAAATCATTTAAATTTTGGTGTCATGTCCTGACTTCAATTCACAGTGATATTAAAACAAAAGCAAACCAAGCTACTTACTACATCTGGAAGGTAGAATATGTACATGAGGGTCCCATGAGGACACAGCCCATCTGATTTTTCCTCTGTAGGAGAAAAATAAAAACACTGATGACTAAAACTAAACAAATTAATCAGTGACAGAAAACAAGTGGCAAGGGAAAGGTTAAGAGAAATGGGCCTCTCAGGAGTTTGAATGCAGAGTAGAGAGAAGTTACATTTGGTGCCTTGGGCTGGGCTTAGGGAAAATGAGGTCTGAAGGAGAGAAAATGCTGTGGGGTGGAGGAAAAAAGGTAATCAACACAGGAGAGGAGGATGTGAAGAGATGGAAGAGGGCAGGCTGTGACTGCAATGGCATCTGTACGACAGATTGTGGGGACAGTAGATTTGGTGGTGAGCGGAGAAGGAAAGTTTCAGTTTTTGAGAGAGCTACAAATTAGGACCAAATGAACAAATTGCAATGCAATCGATTGGGTGGCTATTGTTCTTATATCCTATTAATGCAGGAGAGCCTGGCTAAGAACAGCCCATCTCTGATTTGGAGAATCAGCTCATACCTCTCTCTGTAGAGGAGAGGGAAGAAGCACATACTCTTGGAATTGTAAACATACTCCTGTTTGGAGTTTTCCAAAGTATTCTTGCCCACTTCTCACCTTTCCAAACTGAGAATCACTATAGTTTACAGCCACTCATCCTGACATGAGTGTGAACTCTCTGATCAGTGTGAGGCTATTTTTTAAACTTCTAGAACTGTGACTCAACTCCCCATGCTTTGTTTCTTGAGTTGCTGTTGTGAGGGCATCTTACACACCTACTTGGCTCTAGAGAGCTTGTCAAGCTCTTCAGCTCCTTGAAGCTCTGGTTTGGGTTGGGGTTAGAGATTGGGAAGAGGAATTAGGCAAGAATCTCTTCTTCCCCTCCCCATCCTTTGATATTTCAGGTTTTAGAGTTAACCTTTAAGCAATTAACCTGTGACCAGATACATGGCAACAACAGGAAACATATTTCTATTGTGGGCCTTGGAATATGTTTTTAAACATGGCTCTTTGGGTATTTATTGAGGGACACAAAGGTAAATTTACTTATACCAATGTTTAGTTTTTTAAAAAATATTTAAAAATAAAATTAAGACAAAATTATTCCTCTCTATATCATTGAAAGAGTACCTATTGTACACAGCTGCCTGGCTGTAGATGCTGGGAGAGATGCTTCCTGGACATGTACCATGTGTCACACCATCCGAACCAAGAGGGTGAGAGCTACACCTCCAAGAGCAAATACTTACTGTAATTTCCCTGAGTAGATCAAGGCCTTCACAGGTGCTGCTCCGGCAGTCACCTGAATTATGAATCAGACCATCTGAGTAAATGAAGGTGGCATTTACGGTCACATTTATCCCTGTTATCCAGAGAATGAGGAAAAATAGAAAACTATTGTTATTTTCTACAAAGTTGATAGCTTTGAAATTTATTTCTTGTCAACTGATCCTGGGGGAAAAATGGATATCCATTTTCAGGCCTAGAAATATGAATTCTGAGTCCTTCTTTCATTCCCAGTCACTTCTTTCCTCTATCTTTCTGTCTGTTATTGCTGTGGTTTCCCATCTCTCTCTCAACAGTGTTATTGAGGTATAATATACACAACATAAAATCATCTAGTATAAGAGTATAATTTAACCATTTTTAGTAAATACATATAGTCATGCAACCATCACCAACAGTCCAATTTAAGCACATTTTCATTTGTTCACTGCTTTACTTTTCACAACCCTAGACTCAGCAGGTTTCCTACCCTAGACTGGAGAGTGTTAGGAAAGCAAAGGCTTAGATATTATGACATCCTTTTCTTTTATGTTCCCAAGATGCTAGTTCTGTTTGCTACTGATACATACAAGGATACAATCTTGTTTAGTCTTTGATCTTCATAACAGGTATATTAAGTTTTTACCATGTGCCAGGCACTCTTCTTTGTGCTCGTGATACAGCTTTGAACAAAATTTCCTGCTTTCATGAGGCTTACATTTTCTCTGGGGGATCATACTGAATCATATTTCTTATGGGGTGGTCTTGGGTCTTCATAGGGGCCTGAGTTATGTGAGAAAGGGAGACATGCAGATGATGGTTTCTCATCAGGGAGAAGAGCAAGGACAAAACTCTTGTGCAGGATTATTGTTATTATTTTGTATGTCTCAGGAACAGCAAGGAGGACTGTGTGGTTATGACACAGTGAGCAAGGGGTAGAAGCGCAGGAGATAAGGTTGGAAGAGGTCACAACATGCATGACCTTGGAGACCCTACTGAGGACGTTCAATTGATTGTGGATATGATTCTTTGGAGAATTTTAAGTAGAGAAATGATATTGCTTGACCTTCATTTTTAAAGGATTTCTCTGGATCCTGAAACAGAGAATATATTATGGTGGAGAAAAACAGAAGCAACACTACTTAGTTGCAACACTACTACTATTAATAAACTAGGATAGTTTTGGATATACGAAGGGGGGACCAACAAGAAAATGCTGATACATGGGTTTAAAAGTATAAGAATAAAAGGATTCAAAGAACTTGGTATTTTGACTGAGCAAATGGGTGGAGGTTCTATAAACCTAGACAGGAAGGAGTGTGGGAGGAGCAGCTTTGTCAGTGGGGTGTGGTGCTGGAAGGAAGAGAAGTCAGGTGTACACATCAGGTGTGAGATGTCTATTAGACTTCCTAAAGGAGAACACAAGTAAACAGATGAATACACCAGTCAAGAATAGTTATCAGTCAGTACACTTATTGATAAAAAGCTGCCACAGCAGCGTCTCAAATTTATAATATTGGCTCAAAAAGAATGTCTTAGTTTTCTAGAAAACAGAGCCTGAGACAAAAGCTTCACTGGGGTTGTAATTCCATACTCTCACATGTTGTGAATGATGGGATATGAAATTGAAGCTGTGATTGTTTCACCCAAAACCTACTGTGCACTTTTGATATCTTAGATCCAAACTTTTGCATGAGGGATGGTCTTTTATGAGATTAATAGTTAACATTAAAATGTTAATAAAATTGGACATTTTGTTAACAAAATGTAAGACTTCTGGGTTTCAGCTAATCTTGCTGTATTGTAAAATTTAGCCCCTTCTTCTTTCAAGCATATACTACTCAGGGAAGAGCACACAAATACCCTCAGGAAGTCCCCAAGTGGGTCTGGGTTACCATGCCCAATTTCTCAAGTGATATGAATGTGGTTGATAGTATATTATCTCTTATTTCATGAAGAAAATGCTGCTAGGTTCTGTTTCCTTTCTCAGTAGATGTAGCATTGCAAAATCTCCAAAAATTCCCTTCTTTGTCTTGAAAAAAAATAAATTTTATTTTAAATGTTTCTCACCAAAGGTAAAGGGGAAAAAATTGGATGGCTAGTGTCCTAAATAAGATGAGAGTTTAGACTGGATTTCACCCTGGCTCACAGATATCTCCTCTTAGAAAGGAATACAAGGACTCAAAATATATTTCTCTTCGAAATATTTTCTTACTGACCAGAACACCACTCTTGATATTCAGAGATGTGTCTACCAACTAACAAGCATAATTTTGTGGCCTTTTGTTTCCTGTTTAATTGAAGAATATTTATTCTGAAGTTTAGTAAGAGATCCAAATAACAGATTTCAATTTTTTGGTAGGACTAGTTGAAGAGGGGAGGTCAAGTAATTAGACTGTTCACAGAAAATCAATAGAAATGGTGAGGTAAACAATGGCTTTAACAGTAACTTGGGAGTAGCCATAAACCATCCACAGCACTTTATAACCTTTATTCTTTTTGCTTCTCACAATAATGGGGAGAATGTAGGGCATTTGAAGCCAGGAGAACAGTAAGAATAGGGCTGTAGGAGACCTGGAGGACTGGAAGAGTGCACGTGGGGATAGTAGCAAACAGGGTAAGCAAGGGTTTTGGAAGAAGTCAGGATGTGATGGGGAGGCCAGTGTGTAGGCACATGATGGAACCAGGGCTTCAGGAAGATGGTGGTATTCACCAATTCCTCCTTCTGTGTCTCCTATCCCTATAAAAACTCTGCTTTCTCTTGTTACCATGAAAGGCATTGATGATGACCCATTTGAAAATTCTGGACTTTAGTGGCACAGCAAAACCCAAGTGTAAAGTCAGCACAGAGCCTGGGAAAAGAGGAACCATCATGTGTTAAGTGTGACTTTAGACAAGTGACCTCACCAATGGGGCCCCAGTTCCTTATCCATTTACTGGCAGAATACAGCTGGAGTTCTGCCACTGTATGCTTGGCATTGGTCTGTGAATTTTTACATGTATCATTCACTATCCCCTTCTGAGTCATACAAAACAATTAAATTTATCCTAATTTTAAAATGAGAAAGTGGTATTAATTTTTAAACAAGAGGCAGATTAGCTTGCCACACATTACACAGCTAGTAAGTAGGGGAGCTGAGATGTGATTCTAGGACAGTTTGATTCTGAACTTGATATCCTACAGAACTGTGTTTCTCAAAATGTGAGCCATCAAGGGAAACTTTGTCTCTTTCAGGGGTCCTATGAGATCAAAGCTATTTCCAAAATTATACTAAGATTTTTCTTTGCTTTTTCACGAGCACACAGTGGCATTCTCTAGAGACTATATGACATGTATTATTGCTAACAGATTGAATACAGAAGCCAATTTGAGAATATAGCTATCTTCCATTAACCTGGACACTAAAGACATTAGAAACTCTGTAAATCAATACCATTCTTTTCATTCACTTTTTTTTGGCTTGAGAAATACAGATATAAGTAACAAAAAATGTTAACAAGTAAAGTATTTACTATTTTTAGTAAGTTTAGAAGAAAATGTTTAAAATATTTCTCAATTTTATTTTCTAGTCCAATAAATATCAACATATGTAAACAAAACTCTTTGGGCCCCAAATTTTTAAGACTGTAAAGGGGTTTTGATACCAAAATATTTGTGATCCACTCCTGTGGAACATTTTATAACACCATCTCTACATATTTTATGGTCATACATACTTTCTAAAAAATTTGGTACAGGGAATAGTTTATCTTTTATCTCCTCAGATCTCAAATGATTTCTTCCTCCAAAAATACTGAAGATTTTTCAGACACTATGTGACTTCAAATCAAATCTTAACTTTTGTGTGTGTGTGTGTGTGTGTGTGTGTGTGTGTGTGCATGTGGTAGTGGGGATTGAACTCAGGGCCTTATGCCTTGAGCCACTCCACCAGCCCTTTTCATGTTAGGTATTTTCAAGATAAGTTCTTGTGAACTATTTGCCCAGGCTGGCTTCAAACCATGATCCTCCTTAACTCTGCCTCTTGAGTAGCTAGGATTACAGGCATGAGCCACTGGTACCTGGCCAAATCTTAACTTTTGAAATAAGAAGTTCACCCAAGTGTTGCTTTCCATCCTTATCTTGCCTGCTCTGCTCATCCCACCATGATATTTCAGTCCTGGGAAGATGAGTGGAAAGCTAAACAATATAGGATGATTTTGGAACCCTTCTTCCTCTCTAGGGCTTTGAGGATGGGGTTGGACCAAGGTGAAGCTGGAGTTGAGGTGATGGTGTCTAGGAGAAGGACCCCTCAGCACATGGGAACACACCTGGGTATGACCATGCATTTAGCCATGGAGCATATAGCCTCAAGGAGGTAAGGTAGTGAAGTTGAAGAAATCTTTTCACATTGTTTTCCACCAAGTTCTCTCTATTCTTCAAGACCTACAAACCTTGCCTAAGTCCTAGAAAAAACATTGCTCACTTTCTTAGGGATGTTCCCCACAACCTTTATATTCTCAATCTTCTTCATTTAGCCCTCAGATACATTGTTTTGGAATGCTTCCCAAATAACAATGTTCAACATGTTTAGAACATGAGCTATTTTTCTTTCCAAAACCTGTTCCTTTTATGTTTATTCTAAGTGAACATCTAGCTAACAAATTGAATTATCAAATGCAAACATCTGAGCACCACTGTTCATTCTTCAATCACCACAGAATCTGTTCAACAACCTTCACACTACAAATGAGATGAATGAAATTTAGAGACACTAACTCACCCAATGTCTAGTAAATGATGGGGCATGAATTCAAATTCGGGTTGCAAGCATTCAGACACCAAGACTTTAACCAATAGTCTGCACTGTCTACTTATTTTATGCACCAGGCAATGTGTTCTCCTAATAGCAGCAAAAGCACAGCCTCAGCAACATCTTCAACAACAACCACCACTGCTGCTGAGTCCTTAATAAGCTTCAGTGTCTGAGGTACTCACAGGGACTTTCTAATTGAATCCACACTGTCCACATGAGCTAACTACAATTTACCCCAATTTTATAGTGAAGAAACCAAAGCTCAGGTTATACAGGCAGTAAATGGTTAATGAGGAAATTAAACCAGATTCAGTAAGACTCAAAATCCTTGCTTCTTATGCTATGTTCCATTGCTGTGTTAGTGGATTCAGGGTAAAGATTTTATAGCGGCAATATGATATACACCCTTTGGAATCAGACAGAAGTGGATTTGAACCTCATTTCAATCAGACAACCTGCATGACTTTAGCAGAATTAGTAACTCTGCTATGAAACCAATCAACCATGCCAAAAATACAGAGCTCTGGTGATTAAAAAGATTATATAAAGTAACTAGAACTTACCTCACGCAAGACAGTGCTTAATAAACAAGGAAACTGAGGCTCAGAGAAACAGGGACCTAACTCACCCAAGGTCACAGAGAGAGATCCTAGATTTCACCACACTGCCTTAGTAAATGAGGGGATTTTATTAAATGACCTCTAGTTCCATTATAGCTCTGGAGCAGAATTCATTCATTTACATCTGAGTCTAGCTTCAGACAGAACTGCGGCTATGTTGTGTATGCACAGAAGTAAGTAATTATACATAGACAAGCTGTTGCTCTCATTTCCACTGGATTTTAAGTAGATAAAATTAAGACATACCATCCTTAAAGCCATAAATAGCCATTAAGAATGAATCAAATACTCATTGACTCGGTAATCCAATCCTACTTCTGGTAATCTAAGATCAGGCAATGAAGAAAAACTATATACAAGAAAATCCTTATTGTGGTATTGTAAAAATAATCACAAGAAATGTCAAATAATAGGATATTCTACTACAGGAAAGTTTTAGGTAATTTGGGTGATATCTATTCTAAGGGATAATATATTTCCACTCACATTGTGACTATGAACGAATGAGGCAATAGGGAAGTCACTTGTGGAGTCACATGAAATGACACAGAATGATGCAAAATTGTTTCCATGACATATTGATCACCAACCATGTTCTTAAAAACAAGAAACTTAGTAGAAGCATATAAAAAGAGGTAGAAACCATCCAGGTGGCTGGAAATTGTCATGTATAATTTGTTTTCTCTTTAATGTGCTTATGTGATATTACAAAATATATTTTTATAACCAAAAGATGTGGCAAGGAACTACAACAATAAATTTGATTGCAATTTTTAAATATTTATTATATTATATTATATTACAGTTGATGTGTCAGCCATGAGACGATCCAAAAAGCCAACAGACTCAGAAAATAATGTCCCTCTGGATGACAGGCCTAGAGAAAAATTCGGCACCCTTGTGACTTTTAGTCCTTCACTTCTGCTTCTTGACAGTAACCCTGTGAAATCTCAGATCCAACCCAAATCTTGCCCCTTAGCAACTTCAAACCTGTTTCTAACTGGGGTGTTTCACTGTTGTGAACACTATATTTTCCCTGGCTTAACACCATTCTCAGAGCAGAGCAAAGTGGATTGTAAGAAAGCTCACCACAGTTTGGCCACAATCCTTTTCCCCCAGGATCTACTGCTTAAAATAAAAAGGGGTTAGATATGGACCTTAGAGAAGTTTGGGTGACCAGGCAAAGTGCACAAGATCTTCTCAACGTTTGTCCCCAGGGATGGTAACACAGAAGGACTCTATTACCATATTCTTACCAGCTTCATGCAGCTGCATTCGTACTACATCCAGTCCCACATTCACTGCTTCTTTCAGGTTCTCCAGAGATTCTGGGAAGGCTGAGTTGTTCATCATCAGGACGCTGATCTCGTAGCTGCCATTGTGGCAGTTCTGTCTCACATGGGAGGCCCAGAACATCAGCCTGGGCTGGAAGAGCAGTGACCACACAACCAAGCCCAGCAGGGATATCTCCATGACCTTGCTCACCTCAGAACCATGCTCCCTGCTCTTCCTTGCTTTGCTCTGGCTTCTGGGGACACAGGAACTCCAGCTAAACAGCCTCTAACGGAGTCCCTTGGTCCACTCTTCCCCACGCTCCTTTCTGGTTGTACCCCACTGGTCACATGGGTCAGGGAACCCAGCCTGTGAACCAGCAATTAACAGTCACATTATGGTAGGAGATAAACCAAAGTTCACTTTGTGTGTTTGCCCACAGAAAGGTCAGAGCTATAAACACAGAGATTACATGAGCCTCACCCAATAAAAATACATCAATTTGTGACACATTACTGGGAAGAGGGAAAAGAGGAAGAGGGCAGAATATTTTATATAACAAGCTTTGTGAAATGGAAAATACAGGTCAAAGGGCTTACAGAAAGCACAGATATGATGGTCTATTAGTGCTTTGGTTTTAGCTGTGCATCAAAATGGACTCCCCAGCTAGGAACAGCTTGTTTGAGTCACTTACATAGCAACCATTTATTGAGACTTCACTATGTGTTGGGCAAGGCCGTGGAAACACAGCTGTTAATGATGTAGCTATATTAATGTCCTCATGGGACATGAAATCTAACGGGCAAGCCAAACATTGAACAATTATGAATAGTTAAATTCAACAATGAAAAACTTACAGGGTGGCCAGGTGCCGGTGGCTCACGTCTATAATCCTAGCAACTCAGGAGGCAGAGATAAGGAGGATCATGGTTCAAAGACAGTCCAGGCAAATAGTTCCTCAAGACCCTATATCAAAAAAGCCCATCACAAAAAAGGGCTGGTGGAGTTGCTCAAGGTGTAGATCCCAAGTTCAAGTCCCAGTACTGCAAAAAAAAAAAAAAGTGGCATGTGACAAAGTAACATAACCTATTCTAGAAAGTAGAAAGTTAAAGAAGCTAACTTGTAGCAGTGCCCTCTGAGTTCCAAAGAATAAATAGGCATTGGCTGAATGGAAAGAAAGGGAGAGCATGCTAGGTAGGGAGCAGCTTGTGCAACCGCCCAAGATGAAAAGGACAAGGTGTGTTTGTTGATATGAAAAAGATGAAGCATAACTGGATTTCACAGAGCTAGAAGTCAAGTGGCAGTGCCGGATGACAGAAATGTAGGCGGGGCAGGCCATGGGGTTTCCTACAAGCTAGTGGGGATCTGGGATTTTCTCCTAAAAGTCAGAAAAGGAACTTGGAGCAGGTGAATTTTGAAAAGACCTAGGTTTCCATGAGAGAAGCAAGTAAGGAAGCAGGGAAATCATGAATAGCTTGTTTCTGTGGGAGTCAAAGTGAGACTCAAAGAAGGCCTGGACAAGGGTGATGGCATCAGGGATGGATTCAAGACATATCTAAAAAGTAAAATGCATGGGCTTGCTATTTGGTGGGATTTGAGTCATCAGGGAGAAGGAAAAATCAAGGGTGACCCCTGATATGCTTCTCTGGGTAGCTGGTAAGGCCGTTGCAAGAGCTGTTGAATATTCTGGAAGGGGAGCAGGTTTGAAAGAGAAGATTATGACTTCTGTCTTGGGTCATGTTGGTTTTACACCTGTCTTACAGGTAGGTGTGAGAACAGTCCCCACCATGCAATTTTGAGAATAGAGCCTGGATTTAAATGGAAGTGGGAAATAAAATCAGAGGCATAGCATGTGATGGATCAAATAATGTCACTGTTTACAACATTGACTTGATGATGACTTAAGGCAAAATTTGTATTTTAAACCTAAAGTTGTGAAAAATAAGACTCAGGACATATCTCAAGTGGTAGAGTGTCTGCCTAGCAAGCGCAAAGCCCTGAGTTCAAACCCCAGTACTGCCAAATAAAGTTGTGAAAAATAAGTGTGTTAATTAGTACTACACCTCTTTCAGAGAAGTAATTTTATTTATAATTTCAGTCTCACCAAGAAAAAGTTGTGAATTACTGGTCAGTTCAACCAATCTAAATGGAAGTGAGCCACCAAAAAAAAAAAAATCTATAAAATCTATCTGCAGCAGCCACTCATTAAGTCACTTGTGTGGCCCTTCAGGAATTTCTGTTTCTCAGCTGATGATATCCTCTACTGAGGGTCTATAGGAGGATGGGCTTCCCCAGGACATAGCTTAGAATAGACCCTGTGGGCGATTATATGTTGTTTTGCTCTTGGGACAGGATAGGGATTGCTTGGTAATAACACTAGCTCCATCAACTTTGCCTACGTGGTTCTAGGGGTCAGTCCAGGTTAAAAAAAAAAAAAAGAACTAAATCAAACATCAGTGAATGGGATCAGTAAACTGAATTGTATAATACTCATGATTTTTATCACTTCATAGTAGACAAGGGCCTAAGAAATGGGTGGTTCTAGAAATCTACTCTGCTGTTAAAACTCACCAGAAGTCAAGAGGGGAGAAATGGAGAATCAGAAGGGGAGGTGGGGGGATGGGTATTTTCGGGTTGGAAGTTGGTTTATTTAAATGTTAGTAAGAAGGAGCTGGTAGACAGGAAATAAGGAAGGTATGGGCAAGGAGAGAGAATTAAGTGAGGATGGCTCAAAAAGAAAGTGGGAGGCAATGGAATTCCCAACATGGTAGAAGAAAGTGTTGTAGGATGCTTTAATATACATACATATTGCTTGACATGTGAACTGAAAGATGAGGTAATTTATATATGATGGTTTAAATATACTTTCTGAAGAAAGAGCCAAAGTATTTGCCAAAGGTTTTGAGAAGAGAGGAGGACCTTTAAAAGAGTCTGTGATGAGTAAGAGAAGGGACTATGAGACTGTTTGGCAATAGTGAGCAGTGAGGTGAATTTATTGTGGCCCCGTTCAGCCCAGTTTTATGATTTTTCTCCAGAAAGAGTCATCTGCTCAGGCAGAAGTTCTAGAAAGTAAGTGGTTGTGCTTACTCAGGTATGGAGATTTTTCAGGTAGATGTAATGAAAGGATAAATGGTTTTAAATTGGAAAAAAGTCAAAAAAGTGATTGAAGAGGTGGGCTGTGAGATCGAAATTGAACGAGGAGGGAAATAGACACAGGAAAGGAGGGAGGCAAGGATCATAAAGAGATCTATTTGAAGGAATGAAAGATCCAATGGAGCAGAAGAACAGGTAAGAATGGAATAACTGAAACAAACACCTGGCAGGTAGTATTTGAATTAGAGGGTGGATTTTCTGCATAACAGCAGAGTACTTGACAGTGAAGGAGGAAAATACCTTTGAGCTAAGGAGCTCAAGGAACTTAGAGTCCAGTTTAGTGAGCAGGTCAGGTACTGGGCATGAACATCAGCTAAATTAATAGCAGGACCTTACTGGAGAGGAATATTAATCCACACAACAGTAGATGAAGGAGAACAATCAGGACTTCAGAAATTGACAATGGCTGACAAAATGGGACAGAGAATGTTGTAGCTACAGGGTATATGACTCAAAAGAACAGAGGCTGTTTTTAAGTAAATGTTTTGTTTTTCTTTCACCACATGTCTCCCCATTCACAATAGAGACAAGGCACAGGGCCTGGGCTGAGGTGTATATGGAGCAGGTTTACTTCCCAGTCAGTATGAGAACACAGCTTTTGGTAAGTACCAGGGGGCTAAGTAAATATTTTAAATGGCAAAGTAGATCAATAATAAAGGCATATATCTAATGAATAAGTGAAGATTAAAAGAATAAACTGAAGCTTAAGTTCCACGTTACGCCTAAGATGTAGAATATTACTGGGAGTTTTGCACCGCTGTAGACCCTATCCTTAAGACGCTATCTCTCTCTCTGTCTCTCTCTCTCTCTCTCTCTCTCTCTCTTTTCTGTCAATATAGCCAAGAAGAATGGGGAATAGTTTGTAAAGAGATAAAGGATATTGAGGCATTTTTACATCATGGCATGAGTGCTCCAGAGAGCACAGGTAAATGTTTGGATAAAGGATGGGAAGAGAGACTGGGGAGGGGAAACAATATGGTAAAGAAGGAAGTTTTCCTTCCTTGAGATGCAATGCCCAGGGCTCATTCTTTGAGAGACAGTTGATATGACAGGAGGGAGGACGTAGATGCTCAGGCTTCACAGAATTCAGCTTTGGTCCAGGAGGAATCTGCTATAATTATTCTATGGGGCAAGGTAGGTTGTGCCAATAGTGACAGAAATGGATGCTTCTTGGAGATTTTCAATGAATGTCAGGAAGAATGTAACACCAGGTTGTAGAAAAGCACATGATCATCCAGGGATGGTTAACCTTTGCTGTTGGTAATGATTTTATATGTCATACATTGGTGGCCAAGTTTTGACTCAAATATGGCTTTACAGTATCCTTTCTGGGGTAGAAGAAGGAATGGCAGTGGATTTTTTTTTAAATCAAATTTGGTCCAGAAATTACAAGTATGAAAGAAAGCCATGTCAAGGGGGTTCAGGAACAAAAACTGTCATGTGCTTTTTATTCAAATACAAAGAAAAAAAGAAGGAAAATATTTTTTTAAAGTACAAAGAGATGAATTAGTTGCAGTCCTGGGAACCCTCTGATCATAGCATGTTATCAGGAAAAGGATTTCAAATGTGAAGTAGCATGATAACAGTCTTTCGGAAACTTTTAAGACAAAAAATATGTGACTTTATGTTGTAAAGCTATTAACATGTAGGTCATACTTAAAGATAGGCAGTTTCTGCTGAGAGAGTTCAAGGGTCAAAACCAAAAAATGGAGCATTTGAGTTGGCAGGTTTAAGAGCATTGTTTGGTGTGGTCTGGATGTTTATGTCTCCCCAAAATTCATATGTTGAAATCTTTGGTAGATGATTAATACATGGGGTGGGGCCTCATGAGTGGACTGGTACCTTTATAAAAGAGGCCTCAGATAGACCTCTCCCCCTTTCGTTGTGTGAAAAGACACCAAAAAGTTATCCACCTATGAATCAGAAAGCAGTCCTTTCCAGTCATTCAATCTGCCAGCTCCATCATCTTGAACTTCCAATCCTTTTGAAATGTGAGGAATATACTTCTTCAGTTTAAGAGTCACCTAGCTCGTGGTATTTTGTTCTAA